AGTTTTAGTGGCCAGAACCTCTCCTAATTGCAGAAAATTGCTTACTTGAAGATCTGATGTCGGGTGTTATTTGAAAGCAGATGAACGTGCATCCTTAATTTTTCTCCCCTGGGAAGGTCATAGTGTCTCTGAGGCGAATAACAAACACTGTCAGTGTATGGTCAGCAGTTTCTTCACTGAGACTGCAGAGAAAAGTGAACCACCGCTATCACTGACTGTCGTGGCTGCTCTTTTGTTTTACTTATTTCCCCCTTCGTTGAGAATATCAGTTCATGTGGGTTTTGTCTCTTTTTGTGTTTACTCAGCAGCTGGTGCTCCTCTGGGCAGGGACAAACTATCCTAAAAGATAGAAATGGGGACAGATTTTACTTGCATTGCTAAATCTCTGCCTTCACATTTTTTAGTGTCTTTGTCACACTGTCTATTCAGACATGCTGCAGGAAAACTTGGACAGACATGGGCAAAAGGGGTTGCTTGCTCATTGGTGAGGAGCTGTAGCAGATCACAGGGCAAGATACCCCTCATTCAGGATTTTGCTATAATTATCCAATTTAAGCATAAGTTGAAGGTTAAGTCATAAACTGACCATTGTCATAATGATTCATTTCTTCTAATTGACCCTGGAGTCATTCTGATTTTTATATTTTTTGGTAGGTTGTTAGTACATTTTTAGCTCCCTGAATCAATAGACTTCTGATTAAACATCTGTATAGTCTGCATTGGTCTTGGAAGTCACTGTAAAGGTGAGAAGTTTCATGAAGGAAGCAGAACTTACTGAACTGAGGAAACATCAAGTACGTGTCATGTGCGTTGGCAGAAAATTTGCCTGGCATTGTGCTAACCACAGTGTGAACAGTGGCTGTGTGCCTTGTGGAGGCAGAAATGTTGAACTTCTCTCTGCTTTAGCATTTGATTGCCTTTGGATATGGGGTGAGTGTGTGGTACATGTGCTGCAGGCCTGTGTTGCAGACATTGTCACACGCTGACCTTGTCTCATAGGAGATGATGATCTTCAGCCTAATTTGCTCCCAGGCTCTACACTGGGCAGGTTCAGTTTTAGAACAGAAAGGGGTAAATGTGCTGGTAATGGCTGGCATGTGTTGAAAGAGCAGTCTTGCTTTCTCTTCATCTTAACACTAAACCATTCTCTGGTAGCTGACAAAGGCCAGTGTGGAAGTTTGATTTGCTGAGGTGAGCAATTACTGCCTGTTTTTGAAGAGTAGAGAGGGGTTCTCATAGCTACAGGAAACCAATAGCTCTTCACAAACTACCCTTGATGATCTCAACTGAGCTGTTGTTGGTAATGGTGCTAATTTCAGCTCTTGCGGGAAGTCTTAATTTTCATATGCCACCAGAACATTTTTAAGAAAAAGTGAAGATTTTTTTTCAGCTCCTGTCTCACTGCTACAGATAGCGATAGGGAAGAGAGTCAGTAGCGGTCCTTCAGTGAGTGTTTCCGAGAGCAGAGTAAAAGAAGATAGATGTGAGGACTATGTTTATTCTTCTGGTGGTCTTAGATCTCCCATATACTGGATTTCTCATCCAAAATTACATGTACTCTAAAGAAAATGTTGACCATTTGTCCTGACCCTGTACAGAACCAGTCCCATACTTTGCAGCTTTAAATGCTTCTCTTTTCACAGGTTTTGTGAACTTTTGAAAATGAGTTTCCCAAAAGTACAAGGTAAAATTTTCACCCTCCCCACCATGTGCCACTTGTTACTGGCGTGTTTTATTCACTTTGAGACACTGTTTAAGAGTGCTAAGCAATCACTCTTCCTAGAGCCATCCATGTTGGTGCCATCTGGTTTCACTGCATCACCTCTTACTTCCTTGCTGAGGTTAGAAGAGTCCTCAGAACTCCGTTTAGAAGTATTGTGAGAGCAGGATTTCTTACACTGAAGAGTTCTATTCAGAAACAACCCAACACACCAATTTTCAGGTATCATCAAGTACTTAAAAAAAAGCTATTTTCATTCAAACACCTTAGATTTTATTAATTGATTTGAGGTGGCTTACATTATGTTGACAGGAACTTAAGTCTGTGTGTACAAAATACCCCTGGATGTTAGCATATATAAATAAACATTCTGTCGTGATAAGAATAGGTCCCTGAGATGGAGAAGATCAGAGTTCTATTTCTGTCTCCATCAAAATTACCGTGAACTTCAGTAGATCAAAGAGTTCTGTTGATTTGATTAAGTGGAATAGAATTTGTGCGTCTGTGTTTTTCCTACTCCAGAATTTAGCTGCCTCGGCTAGAATTTAGATCTGTATTTCTGTGGAATTCTTTTCTAGATCTGTGTGCATAAAAAATTGTTCATGGATTTATTATTATGGAATAAATTAATTTGGAGGTACTATCACAGGGCATTTGTCTGATTCTCATTAAGAAGATCAAAACACACTGAGCTTCAGACTTGGATTCTTAGTATGAAAAAATGTTCCTCCTGGTTACAAAGACATGTTTTAGCAAACTAATGGAGCCTGAAATTCTACTTCTGATACATATTAGCTACATTTTATAAGAACAAACCGACCTGTCTATTTACTCCAAATTCCTTCCACAGATAGAACTCTGTACAACTCCCTGCTGATAGTCTTTTCAATATTATTCCCATATTCATGTGCTTACTCCAGTTCTGTCTTTTACAGGAATACTACTGCAAGAGTTTTGTTTATAGAGTATTTTATTATTCAAGAGGTTTTAGCTTATCAATATAGTTTGATTGATAGATTTGTTATTAGCTTACTGGAGTCCCTATTGCATATATTGCAGGAAGACCTGAAAGACTTAAGCAGTACTGTGATCCTATAGTGGGGGACATGCTACAGTCTGAAAGAAAGAAAATCTCAAATGAAGAGAGCTTAAATTAACTAAGATCTAGGAAGTAAGTAGGTTTAAAAAAGAATAAAAGAGTGAAAATGAGCCAGGGCTTCAGATAAAACAAAGTAAGATGTAGCCTGTCTAAAACCCCACGTAACTGAGAACGTTGGTGGCAAAAATGCATGTGAGTGCAAAGCAGAAACTCAAACCATCTCCTTTTCACTTGTGCTCCACCTGAGTCCCAATAGCTTGGTGCTCCTGAGAAGTGCTGGTCTGAGGGTGATAGATCGTATGTCTTCTGCCAGGCACCTTGTTGCAGCCTGGTATGGAGGGTCAGCCCTGGAGCTTCTCTTGGATGTGAACCAGATAAACATCAGCGCAGCCTGTTGAACATTACCTGCCTGGCACTGGTAGTGTTTTCCTGCAAACATCTCATTAGAGATATGCCCTGGTGAGTGGCATGATGGTCACTGTGCAGGTCAGTTTGGTGAAGGGATCCTGTTTCTGTACCAGATGCACAGAAAAAGAGTTGTGGAGGTGAATAGGCAGTGGAGGTGGCTGCTGTCACTGCAGCAAGTGGAAGGAAGAAGTGGTATGTGGAAATGATGAAATAGTGAGACTGAAAGAAATTGAAGGGAAAAAAAGAAGTGTAATGCTTTTAACAGAAGATATGCCACTGGGATTCTCCTTGCAGAGTGAAGCAACAAGCCTGCCAAATAGTGTCAGACTCAGAGTCTGTTGGATGAGGTGTTGCATTTCTCTGTGGTGCTGCAGTTGCTGGTCATGGGCTGCACTGAGTGCTTTGGGTCCAACAGCAGCACAGCATGAATGAATGCTCCAGAGAAGATTTTGAGGAGGAACAGATCGTGTCTAGTGACCAAGCTGAGATGTCTCTTTCCCCGTGAGCAACCGTGCCCTGACAAACAGGCTCCTGTGCTCTTAAGGACAGCATCTCAGAACAGTCACCCATACTTCGTAGTTGCTTTCAAAAGAGCAACTTTGCATGCCTTGTAGAAAATGGAACAGGAAAAAGCACAAAGCTACCGACATATTCTGTGTGTTTTCTTGCCTTTTGCCTGATCTTGGTTTTTTTTTCATATTTGAAAAGGAAAATCCAAGAGCTTTTAATGTCAGATATCTAAAATCACTGTGCTATCCATCATGTAAGTGACTCCTGGCTACTGAAAAAGGAGTAATTGCAATGCCTTTCTCTCCCTGCAGTAAATGGACATAAATATTCACATGTCTGGGCACGCTAGGCTCAGTAGGTTATTTGTACATTTACTGATAGGGAATAGAAATTGTCAAGTGTTGCTATTATAAAAATAAAGCACTGTCAATCTTCTTACAGTCCTTTAAGCAACAGTAGTGCAGTAATATGGCATGGGTGAATTTGGAAAGGCTCTAATAGGTAAGTTCCTCTGCAGTCTAGTGTGGTAGTGATAATTTAAGGCATTTTTTTCTAATTTTGCATACAAAGGTTGACATTGTGCAATGCTGAATACATTGGTGTATGTGCAGTAGGAGTTACTTTGCTATCTGTGTGGCTTCTGTGAAACTAAAGGGAAGATTTTTTAAGTAAGGTCTACTTGAGAGGTGTGTATTACATTTGCGGAAGAGAAGAGGCAAATACTAATTTTAATTGTATTCCTTTACTGTTCGGTTATACTTAAAGTTCCCATTAGTTTTGGAGCACTAGTGAGCACTTCAAATTTGTTCTCCTTTTTAATCAAGTATTATTGTTTGATAAGCATACCTTTCTCCTCAGAAGTAGAAAATTGCCTTCCCCTCAGAGCAGATTTCATCTTGTCCGATGTAGCCGGGTGCAGACCAGTTATTGAGCCTAAGCCCCCTAATTCCCACTCTTTTCCTATTCATTGAAGAAAGATGACACTTCTGGAGCTATTTGTCTCTGAAACCAGTCTCAGGATTCCAGGGATTTCACACTAACCATATCTTAATTTGGTGTAGAGAGTCAAAATAATTATGTTTATCTAGGTACCAAACCATGGCTAAAAGGAGATGGGATAAATACCCTTGTGAATGAGTCAATTCTAGGTGCCATGCCAGTGGCTTGGCAGTGTATTTATGAAAAAATACCCAGTGTTTGACAGGATGAAGTGTGGTGCTGTGCGATGTCCTGTGGATTTACAGTCTCAATTTCCAATTTCAGGGAGGAGAACATTGCTATTATCAGGGAGAAATTCGAGGAAATCCTGTATCATTTGTTGCCTTGTCAACATGCCATGGATTACAGTAAGTCTGCTGTTTTGTTTTTACTGGCCTTAGCTTATTAGCCTTTTAAACAAAATAAAGCTGTTTATAGTAAAATAAGTGCTGTTTTCTTTCCTACTAGTTTGTCACCATTATTAAGTATTCTACAATCTTCAGAAAACTGGATTTAGTTTGAAACTTGCAAAAGGCTCGTTCCCCTGCTTTCAGGATTCACTGGCAAAGCACACAGGTTCTTTTATTGTTTGTTTTTTTTTAACTGAGGACATAGGGCAGTGGCCAGGTATTGTTTTAAGATAATTTGTTATAGAGAGAGAAGGGTAAATATAACTGAAAACATTTTATTCTACAAGAATAAAACCCACTGCCAGTATTGACCGGAACCATGGAAAGTATGCTCTTTTCTTGTTGCTATAATGATGTATTTTATGGTTTTCATCTACTATTTAGAAATGAAAATGTCTGTTTAGAGCTTCTCTTGTCCTATCCATTTTCTTCACAGAATTACTCTCCTTAAGCTGTGTGCATGGGATAATACTTTGATACAGTAAAATCTTGGAAAATCTGTAAAAAAGGACATAAAATTGTGCAATATTTTTTCTTAAGTACATAATTTTAGTAATAATGTAATTAAATAATCTGTCATCTGACAGTTCCTGAAGCTGTGTGTTGATTTTGGACCTGCCTATTTTTGGCACTATTGAAAGATGCTAGTCAGGTTTTCAGAGCAACCAAGTAACTTCATTGTCTGTTGAATCTGGGAATTATGGGATCTTGGAGCTTTTGATACTGAGATCAGTTTAAAAAGTCATGAAGCAAGCGAGCCTGTGTGGACATTACCTGAGCTTTGCCTTTTTGTGAGGAAGCAGAGCTTAGCTGGTAAAAATCTTCAGCTTATTGTCTGTCAACTATTCTGTAGGTTTGGTATCAGCCACGTAAGTACATTTATTTAAGTAGTGTCTTTCTTTTCTATTTGTATTTTATTTGTTAGAAAGGGGGAGAATGCATGCAGAAGACTTGTCATCCTTGCACTACTCTGATTTACAGCTGTTACGATCAAGGTTGAACAGCTCAAGAAACCTGAGCCCAGTTTCAGTATGGACAGTGAGCCTAAAAATAGTAGCATCCTAATGCATCCTGAGCCACTGCATGGCTTCCATTAGCGGTGATCCATTAGGTCTTGGCCCCTGCTAACTCCGAAGAGAAAAAGAAAAGCAGAAAGGAAGGAGAGCCTGCATATGTCCTTTCCTGCCTCTCCTTTTGTGGGCTTGTTCTTAAGACTGACCCTCCTGCTGCTTTGTGTTCTTACATTGCCTGATATTCAAATTGGTCCCTTCTAACACAGTTAAGTGATGAAAGATGCTTTTGTTTTTACTTGCACAATTCAGCTCTCCCTTCCTACAGAATGAGAAAGTGATGTTTTGCTGAGCTATATTAAAGTCAAGCTTTATGACAGTGCATTTTCATCATTACACCTAGGTCCTCCACAGCTGATTTTATGTGTTAAGTAATTATTAGAAACTCAGATCAACAGTCAGAGCTTCTTAGCTCCAACCACAGTTTGTTGCATCTTGCTGGAATAAAGGAAGCTGGGAAGAGCTATCTTCTAATAAGGTCTGCAGGGCAGGAACTTTGCTTTCATGAATTTTAGCAAGTGCCTAAGACTGAACAGATGCCTTCAATAGAATAACGAGCTTCATATTCCCAAAGTTCATGCTAATCTCCACTCTTATTAATACCTCCCAATCTTGGCTATAACAGCAGGATTTTTCATGCGTGTGAGAAAGTGTTGTGTTTTTTTAATCATATGAGTTTTTCTGTTGATAATGTCTATGTTGTTCCTTTTATAAGTTAAATTAATGAGATGACTGGCTGTCAGAATACTTAAAATAATGATTTTTTTTTTCTCTTAATGACTTTACGAATGAGAAATATATCTCTGCAACCTTAACTCTGAGCAAGCCATTTTGTTTGCATTGATTTTTTCTTTTCTGTGGGATCTGCAGTAACCCCAGTCTCCTATGAGTTAACACAAAAAACTTTGAATGCAAACCACTCTGGTTGCTGGGATATAAATAAACTATAGTCAGACATGACTTGCAGTCCCATGTTTCAAGGCGAGTCGCGCACACGCCAGATTGGTCTATGATTTTGCTGCCTGCTGGTGGTGAATATAGAAACTGCTGGTATTACTGCAAATTAGAGTTTAAGGACTACAAATCTGTTTGTTTGAAGAATAGATATAATCAAAATTCAGGGTTTTAAAATGGCCTGTGTTTTGCTATTGCTTTCTCTCTAATACATTTGTGAGCATGTGGTTTGTTCACAGTACACAAGGCCTGAAGTCGGTTAGAAACAAGCCCTGAACACTTTGAGTGGGAAAGTCAGATCTGTAGGTCAGCTATAACTGTTATTCTTGTCACCACTGAGTGACTTGATGAGAGATCAGTGCTGCTGGGTGCAACAGTTGCGTGAGAAGCCAGTTGCTGGTAGTGCTTTATCGTGCAGACTGCGCTTAAGTGAAATTGCAATTAGAGGAAAGGAAGTTTTGCCTCATTAAGAACAGCAGGATGTTCCCAAATCTCATTTTATTCCCAGGCAAAGAAGCTTAAGCAGGTGCTGGAATATTTATCTTAAGCTTTGTGGGCAATATTTTCTTTCTAAAGAATAAGCACAGGTAATTTGAATGGTGAAACAGCTTTCAGTTGTAGATATGATCACACTTGATGTATGTTATACAGTCAGTATCCCAAGCTACTTCTGTGAATCCTACACAGTTAACCCCATAAGTGAATGATATTAAAAGAAGTATGCTCATCAATACCTGTAATGGTTTGCAAGCTTAATATATATATTCTTATATTTCTTAATAATCACAGTATTTTACTGACTATCATACTGATAATGACAGTATTTTACTGGTCCTTTGCAGAATTACAAAAAAAAAAAAAAAAGAAAAGCTGCAGAAGAAAAAAGAAAAGCATCTGGTTTTCCTGTTTATAGTCCCAGTGGTGGTTTTTTGATGCCTAAAAGCTTGCTGAAGAGTAATCGAAATAAATAAAAAATCTTGCTTCCATGCTGCTGTAATGTACTATGTGCCATGGTTGAACTTACAGCTCATATTCATGCTGAGCTTAGAGCCCTTAGTAGTGGCACTTTGATGGGGACATGCTGATATAGCCTAATCCCAATTATGCATATATGGGATGTCACTGAAATGAAGGCAAAGTTATTAAAAATGAATGTTAGTTTGGTTATAGATAAGAATGGTGATGATATAAGAAATGCCATTTGGTCTTACACTGTTACAGAGTAATGTCTGTATTACCACTTTCTTTTAAGATGCAATTCAGCCATGCTTGTGCATCCTGCATTATGTCAAAGGCTAAACTCCAGTACACTCTTTACCTAAGTAAACTTAAGGTAACACTTAATAGAAAACATTCTTTCAGAAACGGACCTTTCCTTTGCTGCACATTCAAGTAGTAATGCAAAAGCATCTGGTGTTACTGTCACAAACTATCTTCATTCATTTAAAAGACAAACTGTTAAGGCTCTCTAAACTCTGGATTTAGAGTTGAACTGTGTTTTGGAATTAAATATAGACAGCTGGTGATTGTGGGTCTGCAAGCAAAGTGACAGATTTTCTGAGATACAGAGCAGTGGGCTTGTCATGAATTATGTTCAAATTTCTGTGGTTGAGAAGGTTTTATGCCATAAAGAAAGAGACTATGAATACTTTGCCAGAACCATGGGTACAGTAGAAGTGTTGGTCTATTGTATCTCTTTTCACCACAACCTATCTAAAGCCTGTCTGATGGGATTTCCTATCTCAATCCCATGATTATCATATAATGTCCATAGTGATAGGATATTGCATATAGCCTTTAATGTTTTCTAGAAATATAGACTTAAACTAACTCAATTTAAAAAGAAAATATCATCTGTCATAACAATTATTGCTGAAATGCCCAAACCAGCCCTGAACATAGGTCCAAAGAAGCCCATTACGTTCTTTGCATTTGGTACTCTATGAAATGCTGAGGAGTTAATCAAAACCATTAAAACCAAAGGATCAGTTCAATTCAATAATGTTTTATTTGGGTGAAGGCTGTTCACATGTTCCAAATATGTGTGTTCCTAAGTTCCTTATTAATCTGTTGCAGGTAGATCTCTCTCGCATGGGAATGAGGGCTCTGAACTGGATTTTAAGTTGGCTAAATTAGTCAATTTTGGTGGTGTTCATATGTGTTGTAGACTCTCTCTGGGGAAGAAAGAAGAGTGTATATAACCACTGGAGAGAATATCTTTCTGAAGCAAAGAAAGAAAAGATTGACTCAGAAGTACATTCAGTTTCTGAAATTGTTTTAACTGCTTCCTTTCATAAATATTTATATTTTCGAAACATATAAACTTTTAAACTTACTTCCATGTTGCACTAGTATTTATTTATTAAATCAGTATTTACATTTCCTGCTCTTGACAGTGGGATGTTCTATGATGGAAATCATACTTACCTTATTGAGCCAGATGAAAACTACACTTCAGATGTAAGTAGAACTTACCATAGTCCTATTGTGTTGCTTGTTAAATACAGGTATTCATGGGTCCAGGGTAGGCATAAGGCTCTGGAACCAATCCCCTCATTCCCAACTCATTTACTTCACATGTGAGTCCCCATCATCGCAAATGAAAGCACACCTCTAAAAATTAGGTGGTGGTAAGTATGCGTGTACTCTGGATGTACAGTGCAGCACCAGTGGGTGCTGAGGATCCCTTGAAGCCAGCAGGAGAAGCCTGTGAGTGCCCTGTCCCGGTCTCTGGCACTTCCTCCTCTGGATTCATTACATCCCATGCCTGCTGGTTCATCCTCAACTGCAGTTCAGCAGTTGTGACTCTCACTGATGTTCACTGGGCAGTTCTCTTAAACCTTGCTCCAAGCATGCTTAGCCACTCCTTTGGATGTACTGAGATATTTCACATAAAATATGATTAACTGTTGTGTTAGCGATCATGTCACAGTTGGGAAGAGGAGGAGTGTGTAGAATAATGGTGCCTTGCAACTGCATGTTCACTAGTGTAGGTGCTAGATAACAAGGACCTTTGAAACTGTTTATTTAATGCTCATAAGGTGTATTAGTTTATCCAGGTTTAATACGTGCAATTATTTACTATTTCAGGATGACTTCCATTTCCATTCTGTTTACAAATCCAAGTTGTTTGAATTTCCTTCAGATGACCTGCCATCTGGTATGATTTTTTTTAATATTCATGACTTACTGACTTCTTTTAGTCTAAGGCCAAATTTGTTAACTGCATTTGATAGATAATCTTCTGATAGTATATTGTTTATTTGTATATCTCTTTTTTTTCTGATTAAATAATAAAGCACTGGAAAAAAAAATAATCTAAACCACTGAAAACACTGGAAAAGAACACGAAGCACTGAAAAAACCTGAATCCAGTGAACGAAACCTTTACTAGACCTTCATGTTGTGGTGTATGTTTCTCTTAGCAAGTCATGCAGTCTGTGGACTGCATTATATGCTAGTATTTGTAGACAGCAAAAGACTGAGGTGGCTTAAAGGTGGTGAAAATAAACCCCAGTTTGCAACTGGTTTATAACTCCTCATGGAATTTTCCTATTTTAAGATAGAAGATGAGTACCATGTTGTGACTGTAAGTCTGGGAGATAGGAACTTGCCAAGTATCATTGCTGTTCAGTGACTGTCAAATCTCCAGTCTGTTCAGCATCTTTCACAGTACTGGCTGTGGTGTGGGTCATGCATTTCAGTACAGATTAATTTGGAGGCAGAAGTGGTTTCAAGTGCTGGTAGTGATCAATCCCACAAACAGTTTATATTGTGTGTGGAGGGATAAGAGGGTTTTAAAAAAATGAGTTTTCGTCTGAGAAGTTGACTTGTTAATTGAAGTTAAAATTGCAGTATTTATGGCATATCCCCATTCTGTCAAGAGCTCGCCAGTTTTACAGATGCGTTTTCCTACTTTACAAAATGTATCCTAGATAAGTAAAACTGTCCTTCACAGACACTGTCATTTTGGTAGAAATAACCTCTAGACTAATTTCTTCAGAAGAGTTATAGATGTCCAGTCATCTTGTTACAAACTATTTGTTCTATGCTAGCAGTCGGCTCTGGAATATTACAGTGCTGGGTACTGCGCATGGGTTCTCCCCAGGAGCACAATGTGTGCAGGTTTGCTAGTTGTTAAGCGAAGTAGAATCATTCAGAGCGGTAATGAGAAGAAAACAAGGGAAATTGTTATAACTGGGTCACCTTGATTTCAGTTCTGAAGAAGGAATCTTTCTGAGTCTAAACAAAACAGTATCCCAGCTTCATGCCTCATGTCCTTTGCTGATGATTGCCCGAGGAGTTGTTGGGATGGAGGGGCTTATACAGTGCAAAATGTCAACATATGTATCATGAAGTTTCCTATGTATGTGCACCTTAGGTGCATACCTTGGTTATTCCCTGTACTTGTGGAGAGGGTAGTGTCATATGAACAATTTATTGAACATAAGGCCAAATAATAAAGTGCATCTTTTGTCACACTTCTTGAGCATGTCATTTGAAAGGTTGGAAATAATGCAACATTTGCTGAGTTTAAAATGAATCTTCTGCCTTAGGTTGTTGAAGTATGAGACCTCTAGAGCTGGTATTTGGTAGATATCTATCAGCTGTTCTATAAGATTTCCTAATAGTGAAATTTCATGTTTTCAAGATTTTGGAATAAAATTGTTTCTGCCTTTAAAATTCTGAAAAGGAATTAATTACAAGTTGAATCCACCAGTTTAATGCACCAAAGCATGTTGATTAAAAAAAGAGAAAAGTACTACAGCAGAACCATTATTAGTAACAACCACTGTGGTATGTTATTTCATCAGTGTTTCTTATATTCCTTATTACTCTCTTAATGTATCAATTTGCCCAGTCTAAGGAGATCTTTCCTGATGTTAAGATTTTCTTCTTGTCTTTAAAAGAGTTTGTGTGGAAGCTAAGATTTCCACTCAGCACTGTGTTAGGAATGGAATGGGTGTTTCATCAGCTTCAGTACTGATGTTAGGCAAAAAAAGCAAGTAACAGGAATTACTCGATATCAATGATAGTAAAAGCACACACTGTTATACCACAATTTGATAGCAATATACTTACATTACTTTACACCTTGGGTAATTTAAAAAAAAAGGCTATTGCAGAAAATAATTAATTATACTGTACTTTGCAATGATCTGAAGAGGTAATGAGGACTAAATCAGAAAGCTTGGATGGATGACTTGGCATTTAACTTCATCATTCAGTAGACTTATTTTTCTCACAATCTGTACTGAGACACAGTGCAATGACACGGTCTTAGACAACACTATTGAAAGTGTTGTTTTTCAAATCATGCATAACAGAAGCCCTTTTAAGGTTGTTTGAAAGGCGTGTAGATGTGGCACTTTAGTGGTGGACTTGGCAGTGTTAGGTTTATAGTTGGACTCGATAAAAGTCTTTTCCAACCTAAATGATTCTATGAATCCTTATTACACTTTTTCAAGGTAATATATTCCCAACAAAATTTCCAGTAGACTTTCTCAGCTGTCTGTGTTTCCTGTGATTTTGTTGGTCATGTTCTTTTGCCTGAGGGTCCCTGGCTGGAAATGCACCCTGTATGAATTCATCCAGCTTGTGAATGATAGTGCAGTGTTGATGTGTGTTAATGCATTAACATAAATGGCTTCATTATTACCTTCTAGAGATGACTGACTGCCGATGGTGGGTAAATGGTCACATTTGCTGGTTAAGTTATTTGAGACCCTATGTGCATATTGTAAATGATTGTTTTATTGACTGAGAAGTTGTATTTTTATCAGGTTTATTAACCATAACATAAACGCTAAAATGACAGGTTGAAAGCCAGCTGTATGGTACTAAACCACAAAGTAAATCTATCAACATATGTAAAGCATAATAAAAAAAAAAGTGTAAAAAATTTTCAAGGTTTAGTTTCTCATTATTGTGAGCTCTAGGGACTTCAGGCCTGAAAGAAATAAATAGGGACCCTTGGATGTGATTTACTTTATTTTAGGTCCATTTTGTAAAGAAAATCCTCAAGTGCACTGGTGTAACCATGAAAACACTTCTAAGCAAAGGGCCTATAATTGTGCAGACCCCTCCATGAAAAGGTATCTTCAGACTTCACACACTAAAGTAACAGTAGAATCCCCAAGACTTAGCCAAGAGTACACCAGTTGCTCATGCTTTGCTTTCCTAGTTTGTTTTATCATTAAGTAGCTGCTCCAGATTAAGATTAGCGCTTACTCCTGGTAATGTTTTGTCAGATAGGCAATTCAACTTTGAGTTTTAAGGTTTTGCTGATATGGCAGCCCTGTCAAATTCCTATCAGCACTGGTTTTAACCCTGTTGTTTGAGCCACTTGCAGAAATTTCACAATTAATGTACAGCAGGTGGGAGGTAGAGCTGTGAGAAACTTTCCTGTCCAACCAGCAAAACTGTTCAGGATTTTCCAACAGAACCAAAAGTTGTGTACAAAGGTATGGGAATTGGCAGTGCCTTAATTTACATCACTCTTAGAGTACTGTCTGCTTCTCTACAGGACTGGTAAAATCACTCTGGAATATAGACAGCAGTTTTCAGTTTCTGGAGGCTGAAAGAATGTCCAAAGCTGCAGAAAGCACAAAGGACAGGAAGTAGTCAAGGGAAAAAGGAAAAAAATAACATTACAAAATAAGCAACTGCAAACCTTTAATTTATCTTGGGGTTATATGAATAGTAAACATGCTTATACAAGAGAAGGGAAGAGATTTCTGGTCTGTATAGGGAAAAGTGAGGCAGGGATTAAAAATCTAACATTAAAGATGGAAAAATACTTCTTGGACATTTAAAAGGGTGACAGCAAGTGTTGTCTCTGCTTAGTTTATCATGTGCCCCTTTCCATGAGTGGCTAGTAATAGATTTGATGAAAGGGATTTGGCAAAAGAACAAACTACTTGGTGCTTATGATTAGAGGTTTAAGAAGTTAAAGACACAGTGGGATTAGAAGGGAGGAATATTGTATTGATTGTGAGCATTACCAAAATCTCATGAGGTTACTCTCAACTCTAATATATTTTGCTTTGTGAATGTAATCATCTTAAAGCATTAATTCTGCCTTCCATGCTCCTCTTACTAATTTAGGTAATGTCTGCTGAATTCCCAAAAATGCGATTCACTCCATGGAAGCACTGTGCTAATAATATTACATGCTCAATGTTGGTGAAGTTTTGGCGTAGAACATCTGCTGCGCTTTCTGAAGCGTGACACCCACGGATCATGTGTTGCAGCAGACCCAGATTATCACTAGTAGAGTTTTTAATAAGAACTCTGTCACTGGGAAGCATCTGTAATATTGCTGCCTTTATAGCTGGAAACTTGAAAAAATAAGTTGCTGCCGCAGCTGATGTGTGAAAGAATGCCATATCTACTGTCATGTGGCATCAGGGTCACTGATTATTGAGCTATCTTCTTGTAAACATTCAATGTATTTGCCTGTGTTTTCTGTTTAGAGTTCTGGCAGATGAATGCAACATCACAGAAATTTGTTTTAAAGCCAAGATACAAAAGAAGTAAAAGGCAGGTACGTGCCAATACACTTGTTTATAAATAATATGCCATCAACTTTATTTTGTGCCTGCTGAATTAATTTGGCCAGATGGAGTACTGCTGCTTGGGCTGGTTTGGCTATAACAAAAAGAGGTATGTAATGTTGACAAAACATTGTTGGGTTCTCTTGAACGTTGCCTACCTGAAGAGTTATAAAGTTATTAAGCACTGCTAAATTGCAAATGGAAAAGTAGCTAAAATATTTTCTCTCATTTTGAATATAGTTTTAACATTCACAAGTATTTTTTTACATTGGAGTGGTGATAAGTAGCTACTTTATCTCACTTGACTTTGATTTAAATTTAATTTCCTACACTGAGTGTTCATCCACTGTTTATTAAAGTGGGGGAGACACTAAGTGCAGATGTTTGTACCCTGGGAAGATAGCAGCAATTCTTTGTATTTTAGGAATGGAGTTCAAACGATGGGACAGGTCAAATCAGAGCCAGGTCAGGGGGTCTGAACAGTGTAGGCAAAAATGAAATACTGAAAGCAGTGGGAGGGGAAGATGACTTTGACAGCACTAACTAATACAAGCCTCACAGAGGCAAAAGAAAAGTGAATAAGACATTGGAGCATTCTGGAAGTCATTCCTGAGGGTCTTGCTTTATATCAGAAGTTTGCTGTCTTTCTAGAAACTAGGCATTACTCTGCGTTTTTAAGTCATAACAATGTAGTAACTCTTCTGGAAAACGCAGTTAATAAAGGTCACCATGAAGAAACTCAATCATAAATGTTTCTAAATGCAAAGCAAGCATAACACAGAGGTGAGTCCTGTGTTTGAGCAGTGTGCAAATAAATAATAGAATTGTTAGAGAGTTTTCTCATAAATAATTCAAGAGGGTTCCCTTTCTCTGTGGAAAAACCCCCCAGCAAAACATTCTAGCTGACACAAGCTATTTATAGGCCTCACTGGGGATTCTCTTTCTTTAAGGACCCCCCAAATTTGGGATTAGATACTTGATTTCATTGTTTAGGGTCATAGAAATGTCCTGGTGGAGGTGAAAGAATTTGTAAAAATGATGCAGCTAAGCACCAGAAGTTTCATCAATATTTGAGACCAGAATTGAGACAGTAGAAAAAATGTGTGCATGAGAAGTTTGGTTTCTGAAGCCATTTCTAGTTACCAGTTATATTCTCCCTGTACACTCACTTCTGTACACTGTCTTACACTTTCACTGTCTCTGTAGGTTCGTCGGATTCCACGTAAAGTTGAAGAGGAAACAAAATACATTGAGTTGATGATTGTAAATGATCATCTAATGGTAAGATTGACACACTTCAACATCTTACAATTATCATTAACATCAATTTGTCTTAGTTGGCCCATAAAAGATAACAATACAGAACAGCCTATGGCCAGAATAAATTCAGTATGCCCTTAAGAGAAGAGAGTATGGTTTCATTAACCATTGATGAAGTTGCTTCTGAATTTTGGCAAGGTAGTTTCACCAAGAATGCAACCAGGCCTGAGTATGAGAAGGAAGGGTCATAAATTAAAGAATTGTGTCATAAAGTAACTAATGTCAGTGTAACTTAAGCTGATGATTTTCTTTCTGGCTTTCTTGGGCACTTAGCTATAGCCACTCAGTAATCAATAATGCAGTTATTGACATTATGCAGCAGGTGTTGACAATGGGGAGATTAATAGCAACTAGATTTTTTTTTGATATGTCCAAATCAATGTAGAGAAAATTATTTTGTTAAGCTTCTATGCTTTCTCTGGGAAAACATAAATAGGCTCTTTAATGTAGTGGAAAGAGATATAATAAAGATTAGTGTATTGAAGAAAAACCAGGCTCATTCAAGTGGGAAAAGTGACAGACTTGTGTCAGTGAAGTAAAGATTATTAATAATTAATGAAAGGAATATCAAAGGATATGGTGAATTCTCTGTCACTTGCAGTTTTCAAATCCAGACAGTGTATTTCTGGAAGATGTGGTGATGTCAAACACAAACAATAGGATTTGATCTTGAAGTAACTGCGTAAAGTTCAGACTGGTGGTGCCCCTCCGACTGGTGGCATTAGTTGGTTTTATGATCCTATATGGCTTTAAAAATCAAAATATATCTATACATTTTATCTACCCTTTCTTCTATGTGCAGCTTCTCTCAAGCAATACCCAAATTGGCAAAAATATCAGAGTGTACCAAGGAATGTGCCACTGTTCTTGGACAATGTACTGCTCCATTAGCTCAGTTTGGCAAGCATAACAATAAATTCTTGGATTAAGTATATTGAATACTGGATGCAAAATTCCCTAAATCACTGTCATTGTGTTTCATCCTGAATACCTGAAGCCACAACATGCCCATTTGGACAGTATCTGTCTGGGTTGATTCCTCTCAAGGACAATGTTTCCTAATTTTGGTTAATTATAGGTACTGTGTGAGTCAGTCCATGTATGAGTTTATTCCCTGAAGCAAATGCCAATGAACATCTATGGTCAAAGAAGACGAATAATTTCCTCCTGTGTGAAGGAAGTGTCATATGCTCTGGTCTCCCCACTTTCTCCTTGGGCTAGGCTAGCATGTGGATTACTCTCTGTGCATGCAGTCAATGTAGCTCTTATTGACTCTCAATGAGTGCACTCAGTGTGGAGCTGACACCCTGCAGTCAGAGCCATTTTCATCATTCAGCCTCCCCATGCACTTCCAAAGGGAGCAGTGAACCTTGAGCTTCTTCTGGTCCATAGAACCATCTGTGTGCTACTAGCCATCACGGCCACTGAGCGCTGCAAGGGCTGTGGTGCCCTCCTCTCTGGTCTTCTCTGCTGCTTGTTCGACCACTGTTTCTAGTCAGGGAGTAAAGCTTTTGAAACTCAAACATTGAAATGGGCTTATAAATTAGTATACTGAGAATGTTTCAGTAGGCCTCCAGAGTCTCTAAGCATCCTACAGTTTGAAGTTTTAGTTGCAAATAGAGACTTGAGTAGCATACTTACTTTTCTTCTGTCCCATGCCTAATTATCTATGTATTTTGTAGCTTTTTCATTTAATCCTTTCTGCCATTTTTATCTTCACAATCCTGTCCTTCTATATGTTACTTTTTTTTTTTTTCCTAGTAAGTGTATCTTACTAATTTTTGGTGCTTTTTTCCCCATTCCTGTTTGAAAGCATGACTTTTCCATCCCTTAGTTTTTGGGCACTTCTTTGTGCCTCTAGAAGATTCTAACTTCCAGCAAATATGGAAAACATTCACTCCAAAATCAAGCATCATGGGGCACAAGATCGTTGAATGTTTCTGAATATCTTGGCCTAAATTCTAAGATACTTGTGACTTTCATACCCATAGTGCTCATATATAAGTGTATTTTTCCTGCAGATAAGAGTACCTGGACAGCTATCTTCAGTGTCAGCTTTATAGCACTGTATTACAGATTTCAGTAAACGAGCCATTGCAGTTGGATTGCTAAAGTGATATTAACCAGTTACTGTGGCATTATGGGGATGTGAAATTGTACATGAAGAAATACAGATAACAGCTTAAGAGAGGAAACTGAAAGAAAATAGGAAGTCTGATAGGTTAAAATATGGGTGCAGGCCCACTCAGAGTAATACCTTCAAAGAAATCTCAACTATGGAAATTGTGTTGCTGATTTCTATATTGGCATTTGGAATTAACTTTAAAATTGTCAATAATAAAGGTAACGAAAATGTTAACAGTATGTTCCTGTTTCTATAGCATTTTTCAGTAAAGATCATAGAGTACTTTCCAAACAGAAATTAATAGATCCTCACAACAGCTGTTGTAAAGTATATTAGTAATGTATATTTCTAAACAACTTTCAACTATTGCTTATTAACATTACATTCAGCACAGGAGACCAAACCTTGTACATGGGTTTTACTGTTGATGTAGTTGCTTTTTTCTTTGTGCTTATATGGAAACTGAGTTTACTTTTGTGAAGACTCTCTATGTAACTTGTCTGTGTTTGGTTTTGCAGTGTAAAAAGCACCGCTTATCAGTTGGCCATACAAACAGCTATGCTAAATCGGTTGTGAACATGGCAGATTTAGTAAGTATCACTCGACTAAATGTTCTTTTATGTGACAGATAAGTCATATGATTCTCCTGCTGATAGATGCAGGAGTTGTCAGTTCATGGTGTACCTAAAGATAACATACATGGAATCACAGATTTTCATCTAGAAAGTCAGCCACCTGTAAGGCCTTTGTCTAACGTAAATCCTTACAGATTTTTTGTGTCTTCAAAGATTTAAGAATCCTGCTGGATCCTTGAGCATCCTATGTTAACAACCTGAAACCCAAAAGACAATTTGAAATTAGAGGGCATTAAGATTTCTCCAGAAAAAGTGCATTTGAGTAAATGAGTTAGAATAGGAACATAAGGTAATTATGTGGATTATGCTTGTGACACTAAATCAGATGAGCTGCTGGCTCTCGTACCTCACTCCAGGACAGTATTACTGAAAAATGGGGTTCCTGCTCTGGAAAGTATTTGGTGTGGAGTACTAACCGCAAATGCTGAAAGGATGGCCTCTTTTTTGTGATTCAGCCAGCATGAGGTTAGATACTCCTGCAGAAGTGTATTAGAGTGAAAAATGTAGTTTTATAGATGACTATTTGGTATAAGAGAGCCCTTGTGTGTAACTGGGACGATCTGGATGTTATAAAAGACCCATTAATTCCAAGTCTTAAAACTAGTTGGATTGGTTCTGCAATAACTTTTCAAAAATCCCATCTCCCTTTTATGCACATCTGCCTGTGTAGGGCCGGCATGAGATCTTTTTGTAGGCTGAGAGGGCTGATAGAATTATGCCTAGAATTTAGATTTTACTTTGTTTTCAAGTTTGTTTGTTGGTTTTAAGGGAAATAAAATCACCTGAGAGAACCTAAACTGTGCTAGAAAAAGCTGAATATTTAGTTATGTAAAAATGCAAGCTATTACAAAAAAGGGGTAAACCTCACTTTTATTCTATTTGACATATTTGTTCATTCTGTTAATGTACTAGATATATAAGGAACAACTTAACACCAGGATAGTATTGGTTGCCATGGAAACCTGGGCTACTGATAACAAGTTCACCATATCTGAAAACCCCTTGGTGACCCTACGTGAATTTATGAAATATAGGAGGGATTTTATCAGAGAGAAAAGTGACGCAGTTCACCTTTTTTCGTACGTAACCTCATATGATGTTTTATTACCGGGGTTTTTTCTTTTGGGGGTTGCTTGTCACAAGCGGCTGATACATCTCCTTTCTGTTGTCTGTATAATCCACAATAATTCAGAAAATAATGTTTCTGATGGGGAGGTGGGGAGCAGTTAATGTGCAAACTGCCTGCCAGTGCAGCTGGAGATTAGACTCTCATTTTAGTTTTAACTTACTAGGCTGAGCAGCGTGCGCTGTAATCCTTGGTTATTCTGTGCAATTACATACTCCACAAGCGCAATGACCTGGAAGGTTATGCCTGGTTCCGCCTCAGAGGTTGGCTTCTTTGGCAGTAGACCCTGAACAGTCCTGTTGTATTATTTTAAAACAGAACATTGGTTTTGAAACCAATGAGGTTTCCTTCTTAAAAAGCACTATGGCCTGCTTTGCTCTTTTGAATGACAACATGATGCAGGATTACTGAAGTGTTTTAGGTCCTCAGAATAGTTTGTTCTCTAGAGGGACAAGTGCTATAAGAAGAATAAGCTGGGAGGAATGTTATTTTCTCCAAATATATTAATTGTTTGGGAAATAAGATTGATATAAAATCTATCTATATTATATATATAATTATTTATATGATCTAAAATATAATGCCTACAAAAACAAAGGAGAGGTTCGTGGCTGAGATTTTTGATCCACACGAGACAGATGAATTGCTCTGTGGGAGTCTTTATCCCTCCCTGCTGCTCTGTGGACTGTTGTAGGAGCCTACATGAATAAACTTAACCTAAGCACCTCACATTCGCATGACTCTGGTAGGGTGCCAGGATACTCAACCCCAGTACCCACCCTCCCAGCATTTTTGCACATGCTTAATTAACTGTCATTGGCTGTCATCTGCCATGGGCAGAGCTAGTAAGATCTGCAAGTGGTGCTTGCAGATTTTGGTTTCTCTGTGTCTCAGTTCTTCATCTGTAAAACAGAAATCAGGTTTTCTCACATACTTCCTGATTCTTCTCTGGTGATATTGTAAGGCCTTTGGGGAAGTCTTGTTCTTATGAATGTTTGTGGATTGGCTAGGGCCAAGAGGGCCTTATTTGCCTTGTGACTGGGACTCTGAATGCCACTGTAATGCTAATTCCAGTGCTACCCATAACACTACCACCAGTGGTGGTATTGTTTAGAAATAAAAATTTCTGAAATTGTGTCTGCGAGTGAGAAATGGCTGAGCTGGGAGATGAGGTTGGCTGGTGTGATGGTACAGGAGTTAAAAATGAACTTCCACCTTCAGCACAGTTAGCCAGTTGTATTGTTTCTTGATCTTTTCCTGTTTTCTTCTGAAAAAAAAACAAACCACCCCAAATCCTAAACCAACCAAAAACCTGACAAACCAGTTTGTCTCCACTCGGATGGATCAGTACTCTGAAGTGGAGCAGAGTCTGATTTGTCTCCAGTAACTGGCAGTTATTCATGCTGACATGGTCAGCACCAAAGAGATTATTAGATTTGGGCTTAGAGTTCATTTGTCCCTTGGATGAGATCTGATGCAGTCCCAGAGAATTTTCACCTAACTGCATCAGTGAGCCGCTAATGCATCTCCTTTGGGTTTTACCACATCAGCACTGCCTAACTAGACACGTGTCTTTTTATTGGTCCTCCATGCACTGGCAGCATTGTTGCCTCTCCCGCGCTCTGCCTGTAGTGTGTGCCAGCAGAAGTCCCTTGCTGCAGTGGTATGCAGATGAACAAAAGGCAGGTGAGATTCAGGTATTTTGGCAAAACAGTCTCCTTCTTCTTTGATTTCTTATATTAGGTAGTCTGAGAAGGAGGAGGGAAGGTGATAAAACTTTCCTGGAGATAGTTTGACATGTGAATTTTCTGAGTAGTAATCTGTTTTTCCCGTTTTATTTTGCATAGTTTACAGTGTAATGATGACAATCAGCATTTGTGAATCAGAAGGGTAAATACTGGGCTGGATAGGTGCAAACCTCATGAACTGAGCAGGGTAAACTTTCTTTTCCTTTCCTTTTCTCAAAGGGGGAGTCGATTTCAGAGCAGTCGAAGTGGTGTAGCCCATACTGGTGGGATCTGCTCCTTACTTAAAGGTGGAGGTGTGAATGAGGTAGGTGGGGATAGTGGCATGAGCAAAAAGTGGTGGAAACTTACCTGCACAGAATTTGTCAGCGCAGACATGTTCCTCAAAATACCTTACTGCCACTTTGCTGATGCAGTTTTAGTTCAGGGGTGTTTCTATAAAAGTGATGTCTCAATGAAGAGTGATAAGTGAATAAATTCAGATATGGATTCAAATACACTTTTTTTCAGTAGGTTCTGCAATATCCTGTCATTCATACTTATAGTCACAATGGCAAGGAACAAACACTTTCTTTTACTTGACTTGTCCTTAAGCCAGCATTTAGTTTTCCTCACTTGTCCATTATATAGCTGCTCTGAAGTAAGAACTCTTAACACTGTGCATCTGATTTTGTCTGGTAAAAGTTGCCTTGAAATGGTAAAAGCTTCATTTGTGTCTGAGATACCTGTATATAACTGATGACTCTTCCTACCTTGTTTGTTTCTTTCAGTTTGGAAAGCCAGACTTAATGGCAGTTACCCTGGCTCAGACCTTGGCCCAAAACATTGGCATTTTCTCAGACAGAAGAAAAACTATAAGTGGTAAGGTTGTTTGGCTTTTTCACTCTTTCTCAAGGAAAAGATCTTAAACACTGAAAGATTTGATCAGTGTCTCTCTGATAGGTATTTTTCCCATGTTTCTCACAGTAATGGAATATTTAAATTTTTATTGTAATAACATGAGGAGGCAATCACATATCATTAATTTTCCTCTGTTTAAAAGCTGTGATATCCCTCTGCCCGTAATTGCTGGCAGCACTGGTGTCACCATTTCATTAAAAGTAAATTATAAAGGTGTCTGCCACTTCCATTCATTTCAGGGAGATGGATGTCACACCCACAGACTGAATGGCTGCCATCTTACAGTGCAAAGGTAGAAATATATGGTGTTAGACCTGGGGATGAAGAGGAGCGACCTCAGTCCCGTTACACAAGATGGTTTTGACAACTTACTTTTTTGCTGTTGGCTTTGATTGAATTCCTCTTGTAAATTACCCAAATCTCCTGTTCCTCTTGCAGATTACCAAAATCTTCTGTATTTGCCACCATACTGCTGCCATTTCTCTGCTGTAACGTTGATATACAACATTAGTAACCCCTCTTTGCGTGAAATGTTTTAATTCAGATCTCCACCACCCACCCCAACAATGACCTTACCCTCCCTGCTTCCATGTTACATGAAGTCCCAGCTTGATGCGATTAAAGTAATAATAATACCGTTCTGAAACAATAGATGATGGAGTGTTTAGTTATTGGATCATATGTACTTATGTGGCTTACATAAAAGAATTATTTACTATATTGGGTAAAAGAACTCTGCTTAGGTAAATTTTGTTTTCAGGCATTGCAAAGACAGTATATAATGCAGAGATACGTCTGCATGTAATGTTTTTTTGCAGTTCATGTAGTTTTATTTTGAAGCCTATTCAGGAATGTAGGAAGGATGCTTTATGCTACTGGAATGCTCAGTATTCATTTTCCAGCTGCATGTTATTAACCTGATGCAGGGGCAGGACAAAAGTGAAAATGATAATAATGATGATTCTCTTTCTTACGGCTGAGGGGTGTGGAGGGAGGAGAATGCAAGTGCTGGACAAAGCCTCATTTGTTTCTAATTGTACTTTTAAAATTGAAGCAATAAACTGATGCTTATGTATTACAAATTACAAAGGAAGAGAAATTACATATGCAATACATACATACAAAAATAGACACAGGGCACAGTTTTGATAGCAGAAGGCCGAGACCAGAGGAAAGCAATGACAGGCAGGGAAGAAGGGAGGGCTGCCTTCTGCCTGCCGAGGGGTTGCATGAGGACGGGAGGGAAAGAGGAGGAAGAAGCTACTGTACCGCTTTAATCATCAGTGTTTACTGATGATTTTATGCATTTTTGCGTGCATTATTGGTTTGCTTTGTTTTTATCCAAGTGAAGGTTTCCTCGGTCACATTATCATAATTAAAGAAGAGAATTGAAAAATTAGAAGAAGGCTTAAAATGATTCTTCTCTCTTTTTTTTTTTTTTTTTTACTTTGAAAATTTGGGGATTGAATATTCATGACAGGAGAAGGCAGGAGAGCTGAGTCATGAGTTACATGTGCTGAAGGCTTGACACAGCAGTTTCGCTAACTTCACTTTAAAAGAAGGAAAGAAAAATGGGGACATATTTTCAAATTGCACAGAAACATGGATAGTTTTTGAAAGGAAGTTCTCAGCATGCACTGATACACTTAAACTAAGGTGTGCATTAAACTAGCAAATTACTCTTTTCACCTTGTATTTAAATATGAAATGGAATTGTCTACAGGTTTTGTGATAATAAATATATTATTTTGGTCTCAAAGTGTAATTTACTATTTTTTTGTGTTGTTGTCAGGTGAGTGTAAGTGTGAGGACACATGGTCTGGATGCATAATGGGAGACATGGGGTAAGGTGTTGCACTAGAGGAAAATCATGTCCTTCATATAATAACATAAAGGAAAGGCATGCAAACTTTTGCCTGTTGTGGTTCAGCAGAGTATTTTCTGTGAATTTTTTATTTTTTTAATTTTTTTTTCAGAAAGTAAGGTATTGGCTCTTTAACATATGTAGAAAAGACACTTCCAAAGAAATGTGAGAATAGGTGAGTTAATGACAGGATATGTGAGGATTTTTGGTGATTGCTGGTTTAACTCACAAAGCACGGGGCTCAACAGCCAAGCCAGGGCATTGCAAAGAAGCAGGAGCATCTGTCTGTTTTTTTTTTGTCCTCCAGTTTCTGTGATAATGGCAGAAATACTGTGCCCATTGGAGGCTGAATGTGCTTATACCCGCATGTAATGTCACTGGAGAGTTTTTATCTAATGACTAGTGAATCAGCAAATTTTTGCTGATAGATGACATTTAATGCTTTCTAATGTGTCCATTCAGATCTTCATATTGCCTATCTTCTGTCATGTGTATGAATTAAACTTTAGTCTAGTTTTAGATACAGATGGTGCTCCGAATTTTTAAATTCATTTCAAACTAATCTGCAATAGCTCTGTTGTCAGAACAGTTTTGAACCAAGAAGCATATTTCATTCAAAGCTCTTTGGAAGTATGAATTTGTGCCTTTTTCACCTTGTGTACCTAAAAATATAGTAGGTAGGATTTTTCCAATTTTTGGTATGTTAAAAAAACAATCTTAGAAACATTTTTTATTCTTTAAAAGTGAATCATTATCTAATGGTCTTTAAATTCTTTTCTGAAGTCCAGACCTTTCAAATAATTAGATATAAGCACCTAGCTTTTCGATGAAGGTTGGTGAATCCCACAATCTCTGTTGTCTTAAGACCTAAATCATAAACACTATAGATGGAAAAGGCTGATTATGTTTTGCAAGCCATCACTCCCTGGAATGCAGGATTATTTTGTATGGCATTTCTGCTAATATTTTCTTATCCAGTGATGAGCTGGATACAGGATACAGGAAAGCCCATGAGACATCAAAATCTGCTTGAAGCATAAATACTTTCATGAGTCAAAATCTAAATATAAAGATCACTTAAGATACTTTGGGAAAAAAATCTTTCCCTGTAGAAAGGATTCATGAAAAGATTCTCTGTTTGAGAATATGATTCTCTCATCATATTACTTTTAGGTGGTATACTATGCCTTAGGTTAGCTCTCTGTACTTGAATGAAATTTATTCAGGGGGGCACATTAGAGGGGGAAACCGAAATGTTTGTTAGAATCATGTTTTTAAATGGCATAACTCCATTATATAAAATATATAAAAATTCTGTAGGGCAGGATAGCAATTTCATATAGGAGGGAAATTAACTATGATCAATCTTTGTTTTCTGCAGTGTATATATAGGAGGAAATAAGTGAGATCAGGTCCGTTAGTGGAACAGGTCATGCTTGTGAGAACTACACACTGTGTAATAAGATTTGTGCTATTTGGCATGAAATAACTTAGTGAAATGTTTTACACCTCACTTTCTATGAGCTCTGTGTCATTGCTGAAAGTTCGTCATTTACTAAAATGATTTACAAATTAGATAGAGTTACAGATAGTCACCCTGATTCTGAAGTGTGGTTTTGTACATTTTCTAAAGTAAAACATTATATTTCTCCTCCTATTTAAAAAAAAAAAGAAAAAGAAAAAGAAAAGTAGTGTAAAAAGCACTACAGAAAATAATCTTACTACCTTATTTCTGTGCAGGTATTATCTTCCAAGCAAGTTCTCCAAGTGCGATATTGAAGAGTATCATGAATTTTTAAACAATGGAGGTGGAGCCTGCCTTTTCAATAAACCAACCAAAGTAAGTATGAGCTTACTTCTATTTCTAAAATAGATGAAACCAGGAAGAATAAAAGGGGTAATGTTAGAAAAAAAAATAACATCTGTAATTTTGATATTTCTGGTTCCATCTAAATTTTCTGGTGAAATATGAGTGAAAGTAGCTTATTTTAGTTCATAGTAGCTTGGAAATTATATTTACATATTTTTTAATAAGTGGTTTCATGTCCAACAGGGTTCTCACAGGCTTTGATCTAGAACCATCCCTCAGGCAATTTGCTCTGAGTATTGCATAAACAATATAGTGATGAATTTATTTGATGAGGTTTCAAGTGTCTTGGTAAACTTTTGCACAGTTCATTTAAGTTGAACTCATGTCTTTTGGTACGAATCTCTGGAAGCTGAAGTAAGATAACTTTTTTTTTACATCTGTCCTAAGATGAAGCGAAGGCTCCTAGAGCTTCTGCAGGGAGTCCGCTGCTGTGCAAGCCCAGCAGCTTTGCAGATGCCAGCAGTTACAAGTGGTATTCTCCCTGTTTGGAGAAGGAAGAGTTTTTACAGTGGATCTCAGAACAGAGTTTGAAAACTTGGACTAGTTTTCCTACACCTGGAAGAGGCAGAACAGGAGAGAAAGCCCTGAGGAGTAGAGGACAGACACTAGGAGACCCTGTGCCTGCTGAGTGCTTGCCATGCTCCTTATTCCCCAGGTGCTGCCCACATGGTCCTTGTCACTGTTACCAGGGTCTGTCATCCCCTCAGCTGTGTCTGCTGGGAGAGAAATGTATCTAGTGAGAAGTTCTTGGATCATCTTAGTCCTGTGTTGGCTCCTTCCAGGTCAGTCTGTGTGGCTCTGCACACCCTTGCCTTGTGCTGGGTAGCCCCTCAGACAGGGCAGACTGGCAAATTGCTGCTGGCCCCTCGTCCTCAGTGCCACTGTACCTTGCCTCATCTGGCACGGTGCGTTACCTCCCTAAAGGCTTGGGGAGAGTAGAGATCCAAAAGCACTGGCACCCACTTAAATGACTGACCCATCCCCTCCAATTTGCCTCTAAAATACGAAATCACAGGTCTTCTTGTATTGAGTCCTGAAAATGAGAAGTGGGGAATATCTCTTGAGATAGCATTTGCCTTTTCCTTGCTTCTGTTGTCTCAGTTTTGGCTTGCTAAACAGGTATATTCATGTGAAAGATGCAAAGACTATGAAATGATTGACCAAGACATTTAAGGGAGAAAAATACTAAACAAGGCTAAAGAAACTCCAGCCAAGTTATAAGCGCTTCCACAATGGAGCATTTGCAGGAGGTTCACTATACTCCTGCTCCGTTTACAGAAGCATGTGTTAAAGTGTAATCAGAATAATGATTGTGACTCTTTTCTATATATAATTAATGTTATACTCTATCTAATGTCAGTGTTTTATCAAGCGAAGGAAAGAGGCCAAGGCAGACAGTCAGTCAATGTGGAAAAAAGACCTGATAGCTGAGATGGTCACATATGTAAAAGAGAAATTAATTTCTGGAGTGATGCACATTTATTCTGGAGTGGCTGAGAAAAAGTGCATCTTCTGACAACCACAGAATTTCAATAAGTGTTAGAGAGGAGAAGAGAAAGCATCAAACCTGGATAAGCTGAGTCTGCTTACGTCTCAAAGGTCTCATTTTCATGAAAGAATGTACTATTAAAACTGGAGAGAAAGCACTGTCATTCATTAATAAGATGTAAGATTTCTGTCCTGGTTCATGACAGATTTCTCATTCTTTTAAAAATGCACCTGTGTTTTAGCAGTTTGCTTTTTCCTCTCTCATTAAAGGTGGGGAGAAGTACTAGTGGGTTTATTTCTTTGCTGAGTAAATTGTTTCCATGGTGTAATGTGTCTACTTGGGCTTGTTTTAGTGATCATGTTCCTCTACACATCTGTCACTCAAAAGAAAATAAATTACTCTTATCTCAGTTTAGATTGGCAGCATTTCCAATTTTCTCTAATGACGTGTGGAAATGTGAAAGTTAGATGTGGAAGCCAGGGTGATTTAGACTCTTCTATATATTGTTGTTTGTGTTGATTTAAAGTTATTGTCAGTGCATGTCTGTCTAATTCACAAGGCTGTCAAAGACATGTTTGTCCTAGCAACAGTGGTGAAACACAAACTTTTTTTTTTCTTTCCAAGAAATATGAGATAAAAGAAAACTGACATGACAAGGTGCAGTGTTCATCAGTGCTCCACTGTAAGATCAGCTGTATTCCTGAAAATTACACCAGTGACTGCTGGAGCAGATTAAACATATGCTTTTTTCAAATGAATGCATCAATTATATGACTTTAGGGGAAAAGTTATCCAATTTGCCTTTAAATTTTTTTTCTTCCATTTCATATTTAGCTGTCCCTACGTATTGCAGCAAATTGGCCCAATGTTTTAAGGCAGGATGCTCTGTTACTTCCATCTAGCATTGCAGCTAGAGACACTGAAGAAGTGAAGTTGCCTGGAAAAATATGTAGGAAGCAAGCAGTTTTAACAACTCTTTAATAATTCTTAAAGATACTTGCTTTCTTACATTTGATGTTAAATTCTACACATGCATTTCATACTGCAGTCAAATTTCCATTTCAATAGGGGATCTAATAATAGCACATCAGCCTATGCCACAAGCCTCAGGCTGGTCTGTGACACAGCGAAGTAGATGGGGTGATGCTCCATCCTGTGGGCTACTGACAGAAAGGCAGCAGCCAGAGGGAAACACACTTTGCACAAGTGATGTACTTGTGCAGATGGCTCATAAGAAGAGTGGTTTCTGGAACAATCTTAATTTAATTGGAGAACTTGGAGGACAATTTACAGTATTTGAGTCTTGATGACACAATTTCATGTCTTCTTATATATGTAGTAAAAGCTACTCCTACGGTTTCTTATGCCCAAAGGAAATAAAACATTTTCTTTTCTTTTAGAAGAATTACCTTTAGAAATTTTGAGAAAAAGGGAAACAACAGAACCAGAAAGAACAGAGTAAAAATGTCCATTAGAAGAGAACATAGCATGGATCCTATATGAAAAACAGGGAATGAGTCTTGCTTCTGGGAAAGGAAAGTACTTCTACAAATATACAGATTTAGACATTTTAAGTTACAGTTTAGTGGGGAGGCTGAAGGGAAAGGGAGGAAACCTCAGCAGCTATACGTTCTCATCTGCCTGTGACACATGCTTATGGAAAACTGCTCAAAGTTCTCAACTGTGGTAGAGGAAAAGGGAAGGAAAAAAGCATCTGACTACAATACAAACTGATAAAGGAACACAGCCTCTCCCCTTTCCCTTCATTGTTGAGCCACATGCTACCAAAGGAAAATTTTTTAATGGCTATTCCTTCTGAAGTTATGACGCATGCTTCAACCTCAGAGTCCTCCTCACTTGAATTCCAGAACAACAGCAATTAGAGCCCTGTGAAGTAATGAAAATGTCATACTGTTTTGATTTTTTTCCTTTCTTGTCACACCTTTTGTTTTGTGACTTCTGCTCAGACTGAATCTGCTGTAAAATGGTACTCATGCACAGAAGACACCATGTGACTTGGCAGTATTGCTGAATTAATTCTCAGCATTGTTCATTCTCTGCACATTTCATTTGTGGTGTTTCTAGTCTGCTTCTTCCTGAGTTGTGGGTACTGTTTTTCAGTTAATTAAGTTGGAATGTTAACTGGAAAACCATATTTTACACAGTAAGTATGACAACAGTTCCCTTAGGAGAGACATGCCCTTTGATTTCCGATTTTGCTCCGCAGCTTCTGGATCCTCCAGAATGTGGCAATGGCTTTGTGGAAGATGGAGAAGAGTGTGACTGTGGGACAATCGCGGTAAGTGCATTCTACTTTAAATCGGTAACTAGACTCTGTAGGACTTAGTGCTGCCCATCACTGCTATTAATATTACATGGAGGAAGACACTTATTAAGAACCTGTGCCAAAGGATTTGTCATTCCTCACATTTTTCCATAATATTTAACAAAATGTGGGACAGGTTTTTTATTTTATCATCACATAGAATGAATCGTAGAATCATAGAATGTTTGGGTTGGAAAGGACCAACCCAGTTCCACCCCCTTGCCATGGGCAGGGACACCTCCCAGTAGACCAGATTGCTGAAGGCCCTGTCCAACCTGGCCTTGAACACTGCCAGGGATGGAGCATTCACAACTTCCTTGGACAGCCATTCCAGTGCCTCACGACAAAATAAATACTGAATAGTAATAGTAATAGCTCCCTGTGCAGAATCAGGGCTTAAAAGATGTAATAGAAAGTATTTTCCTAGATGGGAACATGACTCTGGTCAGTGCTAACATGTCAGTATTTCATGATTGACACTGTGAAATTAGAAAAATTATTTCTTGTATTGCATAGGAAACAGCAGCTTCATGCCCCACAGTAGGGGCATCAGAGGCCTGCCTCCAGAGGCCTAAAAGCCTGGTTAAAAATCTGTTTGGGTAGCGTGCAAAGACAAGAATTAGTAAGAGAGCTTGGGGTTCATCTGCTTTTCCCATATATTCTTTTATAAGTGTGTGTGTTCCTCAGGAGTGTGCCAGCGAAGGAGGAGAGTGCTGCAATACTTGCACCCTAACGGCAGGCTCCCAGTGCAGCAACGGGCTTTGCTGTCGGAAGTGCCGGGTAAGGGCAGTGACCTTCACTTCAGCATCCTACCGGGAATGCATCCAGGTGGCTGCAGACACCACAACATACGTCATTATCCTTGCAGATCTTATGATTACTTTTCTGAACACTTACCCTTTAAAATGGGCTGAAAACTGGTTTGTTTGGGGCTATTTTCTGTCTTCAAGGCTTGGCTTCTTGGGGCAGGGACTGTGATCAAATGCAGAGGTGAATGAAAGCCTTCCAGTTTCAGACACGTTTGAATCAGGATGGAGTTCCACAAGGTTTCATTAGACATCCTTGTTTAAACATGCACATCCTTATCCATTTGCTGCTCCCGGTGCCTTACCTGTTGCTCTGGATTTGAACCATGAGACTGAATGGGAAAATCATACCACAGGGTGCCTGAGAAAAGGATATAGTAAAAAACAAAAACCAAACCAACCAAACAAAAAACCAAACAGAAACAAAACCTAAAAATCAGTTAGCGGAATTGTTCAGAAGTGCTTATCTAGATAAAAGACACCTGACTGAGTTTCTGTTAGGTCTACCTGTGTCTCCTCAAGTTTGAACTCACTGAAATCCCATTGAGTAAAGGGAATCAAGACCAATGTAAACTATAAAGTATTTTTCCTGATACACCAGCAGATAGTAAAAGGAGGTTTAGCCAGATCTTGGCTGTAGGGAGCCTTGCTAAATACAACTTCAACTACTTGTTTATACTCATTTAGTAGTAATGATAATTATTATTAATGTTATTAAAGCTGTGGTGTACTATGTGTGATATTTTTATCTTTGTCTGTGGACTTACTATGAGGGTTTCATTTCCTTAGGAGGAACATTAGTAATAACTGTGAACCACATTCTTGACTTTGTACTATCCTGATGTTAAAAAAAGAAAAAGCACAGATTATGCTGGAACAGATCACATTTTTCTAAGCACATTCCTTATTTTTAATGTAATGTGAAAAAAAAATTAGCAGATTGCCAGTGTGGGTGAATTTTGTTCAAGCATCCAAGTTGCACAGGCACCATATTAAAGACTATGAGAACAAAAAAAAAGCTTCTGTGTATCTGCATTATTTTTGCAATGACACAAGTAAGAGTTTACCAACATAGAGAATGGCAAGGGTGAGCCAATGAAGAGAAAAGCAGAATTTTGCAAAATGTATCTGTAGGTGGTGTTAATCAGGACAACTCAAAAGACCATTTATAACAGCTCCCAACATCCCCAGACCTGTATTGTTTTTTTAAACCCCAGGGGTCCCATGTCACAGGATAGCACTTACCATGCTCAGCACTGCACTTGGGAAGGGGTGCCTCAGAGAGTGGTACCACTTGCACCAGTAAATGGCTAGTGGCTTCAGTGGTGCAATGTCTGCACCAGGGAAGGGAAAGTCTTACCACATCAGTTAGCACATGAATATTTCCTGGTTTTATTTTAGTTAAAACTTTAAGGAGGCATTGCATGTAAGGCAAGATATGGAGAAAACAAGACATTAATTTTCTGTTCTTTTTTTTTTCAGTTTGAACCTAAAGGAGTTTTGTGCCGAGAAGCAGTGAATGACTGTGATATTGCAGAGAACTGCACAGGAAATTCCAGTCAGGTGATTTTTATATTTTCTACCCAAGAGATGAAAAAAACCCCAACCTGTAGTCTCTCAATCACTATGAATGTTACTGGTTTGTATAGTAAGGTGTATAAAAATTGTATTAAACCTGCTGATACTGAACTAAACAGCATGATACTGAAGTAATTTTCCATATACTTTTCTTGCATAGTTTGCTTCCATGCTTGACTGATCTGTGATCTATCAGTTATTTTCTTTTTCTGTAGTGTTCTCCCAATATTCATAAAATGGATGGCTATTCATGTGATAACCAGCAGGTAATTAGCACTTCAGTTTGTTTTATGTTCTTTCTGCTTTTATAGATTGCTTTTTATGGATTTTGATGTAAGGTCTTTGGAAGTCACCTGGGACTGTTCTGCTAACATTCCTGAGATTTGGGTACTAGTCATATTTTGGAGCTAAGCATTAAAATGAACAGAAAGTAGAATCACATACTAGTTGCCTCAATAGAAAGAATGTAAGAAATCTGTACATTAAACAAATAGATGTTTTGGAAAATCAAGTGATTTGAAACTTTGTCTGTATCTTTTCCTTCTTTCTAGGGTATTTGTTTTGGAGGAAGATGTAAAACCAGGGACCGGCAGTGTAAATATATCTGGGGTGAAAGTGAGTGAATGTCACTGCTTCTGTGTTGGTTGTAATTCATGCAGCTTGAAAGATTATTTTGGCTAAGAAAAATTATGGGACACATGTATTCAGAACCATTAAAAACAGCTAGCAGTGTATGCCATTCCCCTTCTTCCCTCCTCATTTTGTCTTTCCATCCTCTTTTCCAGCTCTTTCTCTAGGGCTGGATAACTTAATGGTGATTTTTCTGAAGTCTTAGGTTTAAGTTCTGATTAATAAACACCTGGGGAGCATATGCATGTATTTGTTGATTTATTTCAGTGGCTTATAGAGCAATAAACCCTGGTCAGTCTGAATAAAATTTTAGAACAGTCCTATGGTGCCAACATAAACGTTTTCATTGAGAATGCTGTGCAGTTTCACAGGCCACCTGCAGACCATGGTACTGCAGTTCACAGATTGGGAAGCTCTGCTTGCTTTAATAGCACATTCCCATTTTCCAGGACCTGGCTTTTCAAAGTCTTCATCATCTTAGAAGAGATTTTTCTCTGTTTTTAGAAGTGACAGCTGCTGACAAGTACTGCTATGAGAAGCTGAATATTGAAGGGACTGAGAAAGGAAACTGTGGAAGAGACAAAGACTCTTGGATACAGTGCAACAAACAGTAAGTTGATCCATTTGGAAAACAACTGGTATAAGAATTTTTATTCCTAATACAGTTCTTTGGCTGGCACATAGAGGTTCAAAAAGCCTTCTTCTGCAGATCTGAGTGCAGGAAATTCTGAAGCTGAGCTTTGGAAGCACTTAGACCAAAAGTTGTCCTAGGACCCTTGGTGAGGCTCAGCAGTGCAGAGGTTTCATGTCTCAGTGTGGTGTTCACCTTTTATGCTGTGCCATTGCATTGCCAAGTTGTGTTTGGTTTCCATTGTGTTGTAACTTTTCCTATGTCTTGCAAGCTGCTGCCTAAACAAGTGTTTCACATTCTGTATTTATGCAGTTGATTATTTCTGCCTTTTTCTGAACCTTTTGCCAGTCCTTGCCAAACTGCACCCTGGTGTTTCAGATGAGTTCTCCATTCTGTCAATGCCATTTGAATAGTCCTGCCTACAGTTGAAGCAGTGTCTTTTTCAACCTTTCTGTGCAGATCTTATAACCTTACTTTTGCTCCATTACAACTGCATGAGTAAAAATACTCAGTAATACGGGAGAGGCCAGAACCTTCTTTTCTGACACACATAAGTCTCTGCATATGAGTCATAAAGTCCCTTCAACAGCTGAATTAGATTTGGTGTCTCTAGTTTCCTTACATATGTGTCATATGAGAGTTGTTTTAAAGCCACTATCTACTGATCTCCTTTATGGGCCAGTTATTATATCTTGATAGGATATTTTGATCATGTTTATATGGTTTGTTCTTGACGGCTCCCTGCTTGCTATTGCTCAGAGCATTTTTGATAATACATCATAAAAAAGATTCTTTTCCCAGTCCAAGTTCAAAGGAAAATAATCTTCTTGGGAAACAAGACACTATTTATGGGAGTTACTGTCAGTAGGAGGAAAGCAAGGAATGACAAACATGTTACAAAGCAAGTGAAGAAAACCACATTTTTTTGATTGTCCATTTTCTTTGCCATGAGTTTATTTTTCCATGTTTATTCTCTCAATGCAGGGATGTGCTTTGTGGATACCTTCTGTGCTCCAATATATCCAGTGTGCCCAGACTTGGAGAACTTGATGGTGAAATCACATCGTCAATCCTGCAGTTTGGAAAAGTCTACAATTGCAGGTAATTGGAAATTGTGAGAGCAGAACAGAGACAATTAGTATCCATCTTGCGCAGAAAAGCAGCTTTCTTATTCTTAAGTGGAGAACAACTGTTTCTATTACTTTTTTTTTCTATCAACACATAACCATTATTCCAGCTCAACTTATGTTAAGCTTCAGGAAATTGACTGCATATGGGGAATGCAGCTGTTTTGCAGTCCACTCTATGTAATGGTTAATTTTTCCTGTAGAGACAAAATGCTCTTCTCCGGCCTCTGAATTTTACATTCTTTAATATTTGTAAAGCACTTAATGTCCTCAAATACTTAGACGTATGCCTGCACTGCCAAAGCTAACTGGCAGCTTAATACCTTGCCATGTTAGCTGTATCACAATTATAGACCTGGTGTGTTCTTATAGCTTCACACAATTGTTAGATGTAATAAAATCCTAAACAAGTAAACTCAGTGTTTTATCTAACAATGGCTCTTACACAGGAAATATGGTCTTTGTTTTCACCATTAAATTTGATGTAGATACACTGTGTTTCGGTTTGTTTAACATTAGGGCCAGTGAGATAGATTAAGCAATACTTACTCTTTCCTGGTCCTGGGCATTGTATAATGCAAACCGAAGGCAGCAGCCCAAAGCCCATTTTCTCTCAAGCAGTCCCATGTAATCACAGCACAAGTCTCCAGGGTCCTCTTGGTTGTCTTGCAGTGGTGGCCATGTGAAGCTTGATGAGGAGACGGACCTGGGCTATGTGGAGAATGGGACGCCTTGTGGGCCAAACATGGTTTGCCTTGAGCATCGCTGCCTCCCCATCAAGGCCTTCAACTTCAGTACCTGTCCAGGCACCACAGACAGCCAAATTTGTTCAGGACACGGCGTATGTTCTTGTACTCCTTAATCTTTTTTTCCATTTTTGCTCAGTAGCTGGCTTTGTGTAGTATAATAGCTAGACCTTTCAGGAAGCCAGAAGCATGACTCTTGAAGTCTCTGAAGCTGGAGAAGCTTTTGCAAAGGAAAAGGGGAGAAGGCACTTAAGTAAATATAACGCATAGCAGTCAAGGCATCTTAAACAATGAATCATAGTAAGTATGTATTAGTCTTACAAAATATCAATTGATTCTTTCACTTCTGTTAACTTGATTGATATTTCCTCAGGCAAGGTACTGAAGAATATAAAGGTATTATGAACTGAGAAACTTGGATCTCTGTTCTTCCAGATGTTCTTTCTCATTCCCTCTTTATTGTGTCAACAGCCAAGAAGGTTCATAAAGTTGCTGGATTCTGAGAGTTACTTTCCTCTAGAGAAGAGGGCAGTGAGCTGGCTCTTGGCTAGTGGCAAATTCTCTGCTTGGTGCACAGCCCTGGCAAGTCCCCTTGTCCTGCAGACAGTTTGAAACAGTGTCCAAGTCCCTATGGCTGAGCTGAGATCAAAGGAGCTGTTCTGTCATAATGTTTTTTGTCTTTTGCACTGCATTAGAACTCCCCTTTTAATTTGAAATTAACCACTTCATCATATTTTGAGAAAAAGAAAATAATTGTTGAGGTTCAGTCTCTGAAAGCAGTTAGAAATGGTTCTATTAAATATAGATTACATTAAAATATATGAATGTACATAATACATATTACACGCCTTTATATATAAAGTATAATAATAGATTTAATAGATATTTATATCTAATATATAAATTAAAATTTGTTGTATATTTAAAATGTTTTGAAAACTTTGCAGGCAAAATCAGTCTGTATGACTGTCCATGTACCATACATGCTAATTAGGGGACTAGATCAATTTTATGATTTTATTCTGAGCTGCGCTTTTGGCTGCAGGTTTGTAGCAATGAAATAAAGTGTGTCTGTGACCGATTCTGGGGAGGAGAAGATTGCAGTTCTCGCATCAAAGATGATCTATATTTTGATAAAGATGCTATCAATAAAGGTACGTTGTTATAATTTTTATCAGTAACTGGAGAGGCTTGGATTTGAGGATGGTTCATTGAGCAAAACCAGATCTCCTACTGTTTCAGTTAGCCTACAACATGATGCACCATTAGGAACCTCATTCCCTTGCCTTCCTCCCACAGCAGAAGCACTCAGTGTCTGAATGAGGTGTCAGACCTGGGGCTGGGAGCAAGTGGTGTTGCTGACAAGCTCTCATTCCACCGTTTAGGACTGGTACCAGTGTGTCCAGTTGTACCTTGTTTGTCCCAGTCATCTGAGTGGCCTTACAAAGTATATTAATAGATTAGGACAAGCAAAATGTTACTTGGACTTTTCATACGTAAATGGAAAAGTAGTGTTACATGATTGGTTTTTAGTTGTAAATATTTTATTACATAGCCAGTATGTGGTATGTTGGCACACATTTTTTGAGTGAAAATTTTTATTCATTTTAGGTTCACATACATGAGAAAGATATGTTGTGGAAAAATGAGGGTGTAAATGTCTTTTATTATAAATCCTTGTTAGGAGACAGCTTTACCATCTTCCAGAATGTCTTTTTTGGTTAGTTTATTCAGCTGTGGAAAGGATTTAAGCAAATCCAGTCACTTTTATTCCAATGTAAGCATGTATTTGCCAGGCATCTTATAAGGATATAAGCTACAGCAGTTTAATATTGATAACATTATATTGGCATACCTGGCACAATTTTCTCATGTAGCAAGTGTTCAGTTAAGGGAAACAGACACAAAGGTCAAAGCTTGATTTATGAATGATCTTTTTATGTCCATGGTATAGTTCAAGATTATATCACTGGCTGCAGTTAATCAGCCTAGTGCAAGTTATCCAAGCAGGCTTTTGAAAGACAGTGCATTTACTGGTTTTGTATATTTTTCTTCTAAAACCTTTTGTATTTTTCCCCTTTCTTTTGTTTCCAGGTGTTGTTAGCACAAATATAATAATAGGGGCTATTGCTGGCACCATTTTAGTGTTGGCTCTCGTTTTAGGAATAACTGGTTGGGGTTACAAGTAAGTAAATCGTGTTTTTTCTTAATATGGTTAAAAATACATTTATTCTATCTGATGTCTAATTATAAGAACAATTCAAGCATAATCTAAAAAATCCAAATTTTATTTGGATTCTATTTATACAGTGATGTTTTTATTGTATTAGCATTTTTCAGGTAATTCTTACATGTGTATGTGCTTTTGGAGAGCTTGATCCAGGTTTGAAATTTATTTCTTTCTTAGTTATTTAATTTTTTTGTAGATGATCATGTTTTGATTTTACTGTATCTGACAAAGGAAATACAAGATTACAGTCTGACTCAATTATAAATCTTTCCTAATGATGAAGTAAATTTAGCAAGATTAGCCTTCAGTCAGTCAGTAAACCATTTAACCATAGGCTTCCTTAAATAGATATTTATATTCAATGAGCTTAACCTGAAATTAATTCAGGCACTTTTTTTGGTAAGAGAGAGATCTGTAATTTGCAAATAAGGTGCAAGTTCTCCTGGTGTAGAACTGTCAGTGTTCCGCTCATTAGGAGGCAAAATGGATTATTTTAGCCTGACTGATCTTTTTCAGTTTCTCTTCTTTTGTGAATTTCTTCTAAAACCAGAGCAGTTTAGGTGTTTTGCATGCATTAAGAAAAGATTTAAGGTACTTACTTTGTCACCTGTATTTGGGTGAAACTGGCTCTTGAAGTTCTTCATCCACTGGTCCTTGGTGTGCTTGGTGGGAAGGGCAGGCTCACCTTGCAGGTGCTGCTGTAATAGGACGCAGCCCCAGTGGTTTGGCATAATGAACTGGCACATCCCCTCCTGTTTTGTTAGGCTGAGGAATAGCTCCAATACATAAGAAAAGAAGCATTTGGAAAAAAGCATGAAGGTTAGGATAGTAAAAAGGTAGGATATGCTCTCTTGGTGTATCACCCTTAGCTTCTGGCAGTATCTGGAAATCTGGACTTCTATTTTCAGTACAACTCCAAAAGTTAAGGTCTCATTTTGAGATCACACATAGCTAGCGGGATTAGTTTTTGAAGGTGGAGGGTGCACCATTCACTAACAGCTTCACAGTGAATAGACTTAAACTCATCATGAACTGTATCTCCAACTCAGCACTGACTTTAGCCATCAACATGAATATATTTTCCAAGTTTATTCTGATTTAGTATGATTAGTTCATAAGTGTTTTCTTTAGAAACACTTTGAGCAAAAATTTCATTCTGCATACAGAATGGATGCTATATGGTTGGTATTTTTTCCTTTTCTCTTTACTTTTTTTTCTTTTACTGACCATGTATACCTGCATACTCATAACTCATTCTTCTTTTCTTCTCTTCTCTTTGTATGGAAAGAAACTACAGAAGGCAGAGGTATGTGATAAAAGTAATGGAATGTATATTAGAAAGCTCTGAAAATTGCTCTACTTCTCTCTTGCTCATTTGTATGCTATAAAGAAATTGAAGTGTTGAATTACCATATTTTAAAGAATATTTGCTCGTCTATATGAAATTGGTATTTATTCTGTAAGTGTACTGCTTGAAATCCTGATTTCACTGAACTCAGTAGCAAAAAAATGTTTACTTCTGAGGTAGACAATCTTATTTAGGAAAACAGGAGAATATTTCCAATAAGAGAGACTGAAAATCTGCTATTAGAGATAAAAGTGTTCTTGGGAGGCTGAGAACTGAATAATTAATATCAACATGATGTTCGGGAGCCTTCTGAGACAAATTCATGCCTGGAGCTTCTTTGCAGTTAAAAATACAATGCAGTTAAATTGCTATGGAACTGAAGAGACCATTCTTTCCTGCCACCCTGCTTGATTGATCTGTAGCTAAAGCACAGTACTGTCTTCAGCACAGAGCTGGGCTTTCACCGTTTTAAGCTTGTGGCCAAAACTCAAACAGTTTCTAGTGACTTGGGTTTGGCTCCTGGAAGACCATCTCCCTTTGATCAGTCATCTGCCTGGCAGATGGGTCTTCTGGGAAGGACTTGGCTCCTTCCTCTCCCAGTGCCCCCAAATAAGAGTTTTTCACAAATTCCCCTGTTTTCTGCCTGTATCACTGCCTCCTGGTCCAAGCTGCTGCTTTGTTTGTTGCTGCTGCTACCCATTGCGCTTGTTCTCCATTCCCCCTGCCTGTGTAGTGCTTTCTCTGCCAGGCTCAAAATACTTGATAAAAGCGGAAGAGCACTGCCAAGTGCTGGTTGTGTACTATAAGGTCAAATAGGTGGCAGGAACAGGAGGAAGACAAAGCTATTGAAGTCAAGCCTTGCAGAGAGGTTGGTGGGTAGGAAATGTCACCCGGTACAAGGGAGGCAGCATTTCAGGGTTTGATGCTGCTTAGTGGAACACAATGTATCTGTAAATGCAGACTAACATCGCCATCTTGTCACTCCACTGTGCATGCTTCAGTGTTGGTTGAGGACAGAGCAGCTAAAACCTTGAAATACAGAAGGAGACTGCCCCATGCATGTTCGCAGTGGAGTCTTAGGGAATCTAACTTTTTCAAATTCCCTCATCTCTGGAAATCAGGATATGGACAGAGAGCTGTGAGGATGCAGTCAGTCTGCAGCTGTGTCTGTCAGCATGGGCAGTGGAAAACAGCATAAGCAAGCTGAAGCTTTTGAAGGTGATGGAGGATATTTCATAGTTGGTGGAGATATTTAATAATTAAATCTCCATGCAGAAAATGAAGTTCTGTGGGCTGACTTCTAAATAGAATAGTACTGGATATGTACAAGGAGTGCTCCATAAAAACAGATTTCCAGTGGAGTCTCCAGAGTGTCCTTTTTTTTTCATTTCCTAATAGTTAATGGTTACTCCTTAAAGATGAAAACAAGACATTGAGGTATTTCTGAGCATTACATAAGGAATGATATTTGGTATTGCTAAGCAATGGAAACGTGTCAACTGAAAGTAATAAAAAGAGCCAATTAGCAAGAATTCTACTGGCTGGGATAGTGTGTCTTATATGGCACAGCTACACGGGAGAAGTTATCTCTGATGGTGTAGCGATAGAACAGTTTGCTGGAGGAACTCTGCGGAGCAGAGCTGCCCACACTGAGTGAACTCCCAACACAGACATGTATCAGCTGAGGAATGGGACAGGAACTGAGACTGAGAGGTGTTAGAAGAGATAGTGTGGAAGAACTGCATTACACTAATGATTTCTGTGCCTTGTAATTGAATATTTTAAATACTTTAGGAGCATTAGAAATTCAGATATGGAACGAAGAGAGCCCCATTCAGGTCCGTAGTTGGACACAATCTGACTGTGAATCAATCTTCTGATAAATGTGCATCTTAATAAGGTAGACAAAAAAGGCCTTGGGAAGTGCAAAATTAAGTTGCTGGTATTATGATACAACTGTCAAAGTAGCTACTTGTACTAGGGAGGATTTTTCAACTTGATGGAAGTGTAACTGGAATATTTGCGTGGCAGTTTTTCTGCTGGCAATGAATTCATTATCTGCAAAAAACACTGCACAGCTTGATTAGGACTTTCGAAAGCATAGATGGTTTTATGCACCATAACCAAGCTTCTGGTACTGGAAAAGGATAAACTACTGTCAGATATGTGGGGCATTATTTCTGTATGTCTTGGCAGATGGAGTCTACTGAGGTAGATGAGAACCTCTGATACTGGCTTTATTTCCCATGCACAAGAAAACAGTTAATAAATGAGGTTTTTCTCCTCCTGAGTTTTAAACAATTCAATTGGTTGCTATTCTTGAATTCAATAATGGTCACAAAAATTAAATGGAAAGGATCTACCTCAGAAGGAAAAAAACATTCACTTTTCCTGAGCTCCTTTTTGATGCAGGTATGTTATTCAGCTCAGGCTGTAGCACTTGTACTGTACCTGGGGATGCTTTTTGCAATGAGCACGGTGGGCTATTTGGAATGTCTGAACATGGTTATTTGTCTCAAGAACCACAAACTATTAACTTTGAAAACTGTTTACCAGTGAAATGCTCCTTGTTTTCCCTTACCAAAACCACACAATCCACTTTTCTGCACATATCAGAAGCATGTGGGATTTTTCTCTCCAGATGGTTGAATTGTTTATTAATAGGATTATTGGTGTGGTTAACACGTTTCCTCTAGGATCGCTATCCTCGCTTCTTGTCCTTCTAAACTAATGTTTGTGCATGTTTGTGTGTGTGCTGGTGCCTGTCATATTTTCTGACTCTACAATGTTTATTATACTTTAGACAAATACCCCAGGGAGATTATGTAAAAAAGCCTGGAGAGGCCGACTCTTTTTATAGCGACATGCCTCCTGGAGTCAGCACAAACTCTGCATCTAGTTCTAAGAAGAGGTCTGCTTTTCTGTCGCATTTTCAGATTTCTACCTGTTCCATCACCCATTATTCCATTAGTCAGAACATTTCATTGTTTTGCAGCAGGTTTGATTCTTTCTTCTTTCTTTGTGGAATGTTTGAAATTGCATCCTTTGTGCTTTGATTACTGTTTTTTTCCCAGATGCTCTGAGCTATTTACTACAATTAGGCCAGAATAAACAAGTTTTCCATTGCAAACCAATTTTCAATTAATCAAATTTTCGTCATCTCCATGCTTGAGATTTGTTTTCAAGTAGACTGTAACAATAATTGCTTGTTAAAAAAAAAAAATTAAATAAAAACTCCACAACTTTCTTATACATGGTCATGTAATCAAAGAAAAGGAACACTGTCTTGCTTCAATAATAGTTATAAACATAAAATGTTCAATATAAATGTAATTTTTCTATTTTTATGTGTCGGTGTCATTAAGTCACTGAGTTGAACTGGGTAATACTCATGCTGTCTCACATTAAAATGACAGTACGTGCATTTTATTCCACTTGCTTGTCTAATTACTAAATGGTAACCAACTGTTACCTTAGAAGGTAATTCTACAGAGACTTCCTGTAGTTTTGTGCTTGCTGTTACAAGTAACCAAGGCGAGCATTAGATTTTGCCCTTGATCAGATTTCACTAATTCTTTTATTGTTCCAGTTACCTTAAGAAAGGGGCAACATTTTAAAATGGAAAAACCATTGAAAAGTGTTGAGAGTGTTTTGTAATTGTTAAGGTCATTAGATCACGATGCTCACTGTCCCTCTGCAGTTAGAGATCCTTTAATTATGAAAATATCCAGCTAGCACTTTAAAACAATTTACAGGAAGCACTGTGTCGGGGGAGGGATAGACAATCCTGAACTGCTTCATAAGAAAACTGCAATTCAGTTCTCAGTGCCTTACTGAGCAGCCTATAACCATACAGCTGATGAAGCCATTTTCTTTGTTGTTATTTCAAAGAAAGTAGAGAGAAATGTACGGGAGGGATACACTTGCAGTAACATTTACTATTTGGGTATAGCAGCTTAATCTAATATGCAACTTCTGTCTATTATAATGGAAAACTGTAGCAGTGATTAATTAATGATTTCTAGTTTTAAAATTCAGCTTTTTAGATGTGTGAGTGGATAAATTATTTTTTTTCAGGGAACAAGCATTAATTTTAAATGATGCACTGTTTGTGTTGTAGAATCTTTTCTCATCTGGATAAATTTTGAGAAAAGTCTCAGGCAAGCAAATTTTCATAGCTTTGTGTAAGCAGGTTTGAGTACCAGTTAGGAAAAAAAAGTTTGTTTTTCAATGAATGTCATTTAATGTGTTTCTTCTTTCATTCAGTATCTGTGTTTCTTTTCATACTTCATTTCTTTCATATGTTTATTATCTGTTCAAAAAAGCTAATGGTTTCTAAGGTCTGTCTGTACTAGAGAGTTTTGTTGTTCCCCACCACCAGTTCAGGTATGTTGTGCACTGTCAAGTCTGGAAAAGTCTGACAAATACTCCATTAACATTGTGGTGGAGCTGACATAGTCTTTCCATGCAACTCTTTGAATGCCCAAAGTGCTATTTCCTGCCTTCCAAGCTGGTTTTGATTTGCTCTGTGTGCAGATAGGGATGGTATCTCTTGCAAGATGACTGGGCCATTAGCTGCCTGTGTTTCTCCATGCTGGAAGGCACTATGAAGCGTTAGCTGGTATTCAGAGGATGTTCAAGGATTAAGACACAACTTTATGATAACCCTTACTATTAAGAAACACCAAAACCAGAATATAGCAAGACATTTGTGAACCTGAAAACAGACCCTTAATAAGAGAAAATGTTAAAAAAATCTGTCAGTAGATCTGTTGCTTCTCAGACCTTTCATGCTGTAATTAAGTTTGAATTGATGAAACCCTGGGCTTACTTCAGTGTGATTGTGGTTTAGCCTGGTTTTCTGGAAACTGAGGAGCATCTCTCAGATGCTTGCCCTCCAAGGAAAGCAGAGGCTGAAAAATGCAAGAGTATCCAAACTTAGAAACAACAGAAATAGTTCCTTTAAGCAAAAATTCTTTGTAATAAATAAGACATCTATTCTGACCTGTTTTCTACTTCCTCTTGTTTTCTTCTCTTTTGGAAATAATTGTAGATCTCTGGCAAAGAGCTCAGCTGCAGCTGTAGTTCAACAGGAGGGAGCCTGTTGCAAAATCCCACATGTTGGACGCCACCACCACCCACACCTCTAGCTCCCAGAGGAAATACAAAAGGAAAGAAAAATTTAGGTTTGCACCAAGCACCTAGATATAATGACTGGTGTTTTGGGTTTGAGTTTAGCATTAGAAATGCATAATGTAGTGACTGGCTGACAAAACATAATAAAAATTCAAAATTAGCAAGCATGAGTTATCCCTCCTCCACTGGAGCTACCAGCTGTGGGTGGGAGGATGCTCATCACAGATTCCCGGGCCCCTGAGGCTGGTAGCAGTGGGGTGAGGGAAGCAGTCCAGGCTTTCTTATAGCAGCACAGGGAGGGAGTGGGTAGCTTGCAGGCAGGGTGTGCTTGACGGTGAGATAAAAAATATTGAGATGAGCACAGTTGGAAGAGCATCTTCCAGCTACAAACTGGGGCAGATCTGCAAACCCAGAGGAAATCTGGTGTGTGTTGGTGTTTGTGCTTTCCACAGCAGACATGCGAGAAGGCAGTGCTGAAGCGTGGTTCTTGAACATGGGCACACCAAACCGCTGCAGGGACAGCTGTGTAGCATAACTGCAGCATTTAAACAGAACTCCTGGAGGCTCTGCTAGTGCAGACAGACCTTAGGCTGTGTTGTGTCACTGGCCTCGGGAATGTAACCCTCTGAACCGCTGAGCTAACACTGATGTGAGACAACACCCTTAACAATAACCGCATCTGAGCCCTCCTATTCCAGGTCAAATGGATTATCTCATTCCTGGAGTGAAAGGATCCCAGACACAAAACATATTTCAGACATTTGTGAAAATGGGAGGCCTAGGAGTAATTCTTGGCAAGGTAAGTGTGAACCTCTGTGCTAGCCGCAGTGGAAACCAGCCTCTGCACCATTGCTGCTCTGCTGAAAGTTTAGCTGATCTTAGGACAGCATCATGCCCCCTTAAAATTGTGCTAATTGTTATTAACCTGAAATGAAGACTTAGCAGCACCCTACACAAGTACTTTTTTTACACAATGCTTTGTGATGTAGAAATGACATTTCTCCCGTTCCTCTAGTGTGAGCTAACATGGAAAAGAGAAGGAAGTCTACTCTCACTCTTGCCAGCTTCTGTGATTTTGTCAGGAAGTGTTTAGTATTCTTCTTGTAGTGATTTTTTCAAATGAAAGCTGAAATTAAGGAGTTTATTGCTCTGCACAGCTGCAGTGAAAAGTAGAGAAAGATCATCTAAGTGTCAGGTTTAGCTGGTCTGAGGTAAATCAAGAGGGACTGACCTGTGACTTTCAAATGCTTAAAGCTAATGAGGTATGACTCTTTTGCTGGGGATGCAAAAAGAATATACAGCTTGGCATGGGATGCAGGTGAGTTTCAAGTTGTTTTACTGTCTGTCTTTATCCTTTGATTTCTTTCAGGTAATATAGGAGGAAACAGAAAGAAAGTCAGAGGCAAAAGATTTAGGCCACGGTCTAATTCAACTGAGTAAGTCTGAACTTATGAAAGCAAAGCCAAAAAATACAGTTTTCATATTTGTATTTTGTAGAAGGAGATTAAGAATACTGAGAAGTAGACAGCTACATTATTGCTCTGTGGCCCATTCTGTTTGACGATTGATAAATCTGGTAAATGATTTGGTTAATGTATTTCAACCTCTTTTAATGTATTCTTTAAAAATTAACTATCAATTTTCTTTTTTATGTAGGCTTCCTCCCAGTCGTTCCCATAGCAATTCCCAATGATGGTGGCAGCCTGCACCATCACTGCAGGCTTTTGTCTACAGTAAACTGCCATTGCTGAGTGTATCCTGGTTCAATACTGAATTTCTGATAACCTGTTTCCTACCGTTGTCTTCACCTTGGGTTGGGCCATTGCAGAGTTAGAGATTTATATCTCTGCGTACCTGCCTGGAGGTTTTAGGGGAGATACCATTCTGCTCTGAGAGTACCCTGAAGTTTATCCTCACATAAGCCTGAAACAGCCAGCCTTGAGTAAGCTTTGCAATAAATGCATAATGAGAGTCCTTACAAAGCAACTGATCCCCAGGCCTCTCCAGTACGACTTAGTGTTGCTTTCTTATTGATTTATTATTTGTATTTACCAAAGAGCCCATGTATGCAGTGTTCCCCACAGGGAAAGAGCCTGCCTTATGCACTTCAGCCTGCTGGTTGAGGCTTCTTTTGTGAATGAATAGTGAATGGGTGAAAACATAGCCTCTGGGATTGTCAAGTGCTGGCCTGCTCTTATATATCCCACATGGGAATGACCCCTTGTTTGACTGCAGTGACGATGATAGTGCCCTTTCCCCTTATCATTAATACTAACTTGCACCTCTAAGGGCAAATGGGCTTGATACCAACCCTGCTGGTACTAATAATGCTAACTCCTCTCTGGGCCCTGCTTTCTTCAGTTTGGGGATTTTCAGTTTATTCTGAAACTTTTCTTCCACTTGTGGTACACTGTCTTGAGGTGAGTAGGCTCAGAAAGGTTCATAGAAAATACCCTCTAAGTTACAGCAATAATAGTTTAATGCACATTGCAATTAAAAAATTGCATGGGCAAAATGGCAGAAATTTTAGCCCTAGATCCCTTGGAGGAATTCATCTATCAGGTGCCCCTGTGCTCTTGGTCTTTATGCTGATAAACTCTTACTGAAATGTTATTTTGCTCATTTTCTTTTCTCCTTGCATGAGACAGTTTGATGAAAGCAAAATTAGTCTGATCAAACTACCAAGAGTACAAGTGAGATTGCACATTCTTCTTTAAAAACTTGTCCTGTGCTTTCCTTAATTTTCCAATTTTATTTCTTAAGGAAAATTTGTTTAAAAAGGTTTAAGTTAATGATATGATTATTCTGTGATTCAGCAGAGATGTACACTGAGACTGAACCAGTCCATAAAGCATGCTCTTTTTATCCTAGAGCAAATGTAAATATGTGGGAACAATATTGGTTTCCATAAAAGAAAAAAAGCCCAGTGGGCATATTGTTTCATCTGTGCTGCTCAGCTGGTATTTTATGTATTTGCTCTGAGAAGACTGGAGCACTAAACAAGCGGGTAGCAGAGACAATATGAGTTGGGAATCTTTTTCCCTTTCTTTTGTTTTTTTTTGTTTTTTTTTTTTTTCTCTTTTAAAGGTGTCCCTGAATTTCCACTTTAATTCTCTGCTTTCCTTTGTGCTACTTGTTACGGCCTCTCAGCCCAGCAGCAGCCCTGGTGCTAGAGGGAGGCAGCGTGTACTTCCCAAGGGCTGTGCAGTAGACTGTTAGGGACAAAGCACAGTGTGCGTGTTCCTGGGAGAGACCTGTCAGGCAGGAAAATGCTCTGTCTCCTGATGGGGTCTATCCTGGACTGCATGGGACCACATGGCTTGTCTGAGCCTCCTTGGCAAGCCTGTCACTTCTTGGAGAGAGAGCTCCCACTGAATGATCTCCATGGACTGTGTCAGTTTGGTGGGGAATGGAGAAGATTGCCAAGGGCACAGAGTGGCCCTCGTTAGAGGGATAACTGCCTTTGTGAGCAGAGAAAATTGGCTGAGAAAGATCTAACTGTGGCCAGCATTTACTCATTTAGGAAAACAAAAAGAATTCTGGCTGCTTTGAGGATGCCTCAGAATACATGGAGGCTTTTTCCAGGCAAATTTACCTTCTTACCTTCTCTGTGAAACACAGGAGAATATTGAAATCTGCTCTGAGACTGTGGATGGGATTTGGAAAGTCCAACTGTGTTACAGCCCTGGGAGTCCAATGAAGCATACCTGTTGAGATGGAAGAAAGGGGTAACACTGTTGGAGACAGTGTAGTTAGCCACTAGAAAATCGTGATCATTGTGCCATACCTTGTGCTGAATTAATTTTTTTAAGCAGATGCTCACTAGTACAGTTGCCTACAAAATGATTTGACATAAGCATGAGTCTGCAGTAGCACATAGTATGCACAAGATTTTTGTTTTATATAGTCAAGCAGCAGATAGAAACTCATGCTGTTAATCATTTATCTTAAGTACCGAGCGAGGTGTGAGCCCTGTAGCCCTCATGAGCAGCACTGACAGGAGGGGGGCAAGCATGTTGGGCAGATCCTGAAAAATGGACAGCTCATATGTTTGTGCAACTCCTTGTACCTAAGAGGTACACGAACAAATCTTCCGCTAAGGATATAGCTCTATGGAGACTGCTAAAGCTCTTTTGGGATGTTTTTAATTGTTTTTACATGTTTTAAGACAAAATTAGTTTTTTTTTACTAAAAGCAGATGGTTCAGTTCACACAGAAGGAATGCCAACAGGCCGAATATTTCTGAAGATTTTTCAGGAGCAGGGTTGATGAAATGGCCTGATAAAACAGGCTTTCTATTAAAAGCAATTAGACTTATCCAGGAATGATAATGAGAGTTTTCTGAATAAGCTGACAGTTTAATTGAGAACTTGTGTTAAAACAAGTCCCAGGGAACACGCGTTTTGCCAAATAGTGGTTCTGACCTTTGTTAATTTGCACTGCTTTTCCTATGAGCGTTTGTCTTCCTCGTTGTAATAACTGATACAAACATCTTTGGCTTAGACTTTCTATTATATATTGTCTTTTTGCAGCAGGGTAACCCATGCATCTGAGCCTGGGCTTTCTCTCGCCCACCAAACCCCGGCCCAAGGCATAAGCCCAGGGGGTTCTGATCACCCCCAAACAGGGAGTCGGGATCACAGGTCAGTCTCACCTGCCCCTGCATTCTGGGCTGTCATTTTATCCTGTGAAAAGTCCCTTCCCTCAGTATACAATAGTTTCACTGTGGCAAAACGCCGTGACTGCTTGGAGGTGCTCCTGCTGACGCAGCGCTAGCTAACCTTCCTCCTCGCCAGCCTGAGGAGTATTGAATACTCTTGAGCCCAGGTCTTTTGCCTTGTTGCATGTTGCGCTACAAGCCAAATGGAGCTGTTGGTTTAGCTGTAGGCTTACATGTAAGGACACCTATGTTTTAAAGTGGAATTTCTGACAGAAAATGTGCGTTCTAATGGCCACCACTAATAAATACGTGGCCAGAAAAATCAGCCTGAAAGCTTTCTAATGGTCTCACATAGTGGTCTGCAGTAACTGGAGTTTAACTTTTCTGTAACAGATGAGTTGGTGAATGACGGTCTGTAATACAGCCTGACCCAGGAAACCCTGCAACATGATTGTGCAACAGCTGCATGCTTTGATACCACGTTACACTTTGTTTTCTAATACAGGAAGCCAGATCGGGAGTGTTTCATGGTTACCAACAGATCTTTTCAAATATGAAAAAGCAAGTCAAAAGTACTGCAGCGAGTACTAGAAAATGTGTAGTCACACCTACAATTAAAGCTAAAGCAGAAGTTTATTAGTTCCTGGTGATGCTGGCATCAGCCTCTTGCTTCACTTGTGGTTTCATCATTGCTGCGCTACAATTTTTGACGTCTTCTTTCCCTAAGAGCCCAAGCTGGAAAGCATAAAGCACTCCTGATTCCTGATAAATAAGCAAGCTGAGGAAGCTACTTAGAAGCACTTGTGGCTGAGGGCGAGTACTTTCTGAGAGCTGTGGCTGTGCTTGCACGGGGCGGGGAGGAGAAGTTCCAGAGCAAAAAAGGAGCAAAAGAAGTCGAAAAAGTGCTGCCGCTTTTGTTGTCAACGTGGTTTGAAATATGGTAGGGGCTGAACAACATGATCTGGCCCAACTTTTTTTCATCTGAGCAATCCCTTGCGAGGCCTGTGCCCATGTGTGAGGTCATTGGAGTCACTCTCATAAACAAGGGTGGTTAGAACTGGCCCAGAAATACCGAAAATAACTTAAGGAGGAATTGTCTTTCTTTTTTTTTTTCTTGGTTACAATTTGTTTCTTATTTCAGAGTGTGCTAATCTCTATTATATAATTATGATTATCACAAATAATTGTTAAATTGTTGCCATTCTTATACAACAAAAGCAGACTTTAAATTGGACCAGGGAGATGCCTGTTTCTACATTGCCCTTCTTTCTTAACATGACAGAGGGGGAGAAATTTACTCATCTTGTTATTGAGGGCTAAGAAGAAACCAGTTACGAAAAAAATTTCTTCTTCCCTGTTAGTATTACTGTCAGATAATTAAACACCATCTTTATTTCATAATTTTCATGTAACTGGGTATGTAGCTCAGACTTTTTACCTGAAAAGTGTGGTTTTGGTATTAATTGCTTCTGTAAAATATGAGATAACCCTGCAGCCCACCTCCATTAAAGCTTCTTGTGGTCCTATACCAAATTAAATGATCGTTGAAAAATCAAGAAGGGTATTTGCACGTAAGTGTAAAAATTGCCACCGTAGTGTCCAACAGTTAAAGCCTTTTAACACACTGAGGCTAAAATTCATTCCTGTAGAAAGGGCCAAGCCAAAGTTTCTGTTCTCATTTAGCTATGATCTTGCAATTTATTCTAGATGGGTGCAAAAGTGTGTCTTCAACAAGAAAACCACAGGATTGGAGTCAAAATGACCCTTCATCCTTATTCTGAGATCATGAAAGGAGTTAAAATCATGATCTTAATGCTGGCCCTCTGCATAGGAGTGAATTTTACCCTTAAGACATTAAATGAATGATGTATTCCAAAAAGTTTCCAGATTAATCAAAGATATGAGCCTTGTTGTAGGTCAGATTTTCTCATGCAGTTGTACACGTTGCCTAGTCCTCACCCAGCATCCATACTGATTTATTTGCCATATTCACTTGCATTTTGGGGATGAAGACATCCTTGCTAAGCTTGTGCTGTGTGTTCTCAGATTTTCTATTCTTGTTCTTCTGCTTTCTCTGTTCCTTCCATTGCTTTCTGCAGGTATTTAAACCCATGGTTCAAAAGAGAATATAATGTAGCTAAGTGGGTAGAAGATGTGAATAAAAACACAGAAGGACCATACTTTAGGTATTTTGTAAATTAATTCTATATAATTTTTAAGAGCTGTTCCAGTATATACAAATATCTTGGGACTCCTACCTTGTATAAATCAATACAAGTTACTGTAGGTGCAAAGGGCCCCTCTTCTTTTGCTGCATTTTGATGTCTGTTTTTGGCTTCATGTGCAATTTACAATTCTTTTTCTGAATGTTTTTATGAAGCCATTGAAAAGGGTGTGTGTAGTGCATGCGTTCCCACCATCATCTAGAGCTTGTGGTAGCTTTCTCATCATTTTATGCCAAGTAGTGTTTCATGGGCATGAGACATATTTATCACTAATAAAGTAGTATTAAATAGAATGTAATTTACTAAAGCAAGTGGTTTCATAATACACTGACTCTACCCACTGTCTTATATAGTGCATACTAAAATTTAAATGAAAAAAAGAATAAAAGGTAGTGGTATTTTACCCTCAGCCTGCAATGAAATAATTTATATATTGTAATTGGAAAACTAAATGTATGAGAATATACTCTGTGCTCTATTTATCGAACCATCAATGAATCTGTTACAAGTGAGTGTAGGGTTCACCCAAAATGTCACTTGTTTTTGAAAGGGGAAAGTGTGTATTATTTGATACATTCCAAGTTAAAGAGAAGAAAGATGATGAGACTGGCCTCCCTATTAGACATGAAGCAGGAGACTGAGAATATTTTAGTAGATTCCCAAAAGACACAATCCCACAGCTGAGACAGAAGGTTGTGTCAGCAGAAAAAAATCAGCTAGCATGGGAGAGAATGGGAGACAATTTATGACAAATACTATAAAATGTCCAGTGTGCATTTGGGAAAAAAACACATGATGGAGGTGTATCGCAAGTTGCTAATGAAACACTTCTATTCCAATAGTAACACTGGCAGGTATTACACAGGGAGGGAATTTAGCAATTTTTAGATTTAAAAATATCTCAAAGTCTTAAAAGAGCATAAAGATGTCACTTTTTAAACCATTTATGTTTGTTTTCAAGAACTCTTAAATCACAAAGTAAGTTACAGAAAGGCTTTCTGATGAACAAACAGGACAAATGAGGTAAATTTAAGCCTGTCAGTCCCCATCTCATTCCTGAACAAGGAGTGAAAATTCCTGACATGAGAATCCAAGGCTTACAGGAAGTCGTGATTGTGCCAGCCAGCATTGAGCAGGTCTCTCTGTTGGTGCTTGGACATTCAGGCAGGGTGATGTGAGTCCAGTAGTGTTACCATTGCTTGCTTTATCATTGGGATACAGGGTCCAGTTGTGGTGTCTGCAGTTCAACAAGCGTGTTCAAAAGCCAGGAAGTTTTAGGCTCTGAGACACCTTGGAAGGGAATGCAGGTCTTCAAGCTGTTCAGTTTAATGGAGCAGCTAAATGCTTACCTGATCATAAAATCCACATAGCTGCTTATGGAGCAAAATCTTTGTGGGAAGTCCTTTAGACTAGCAGACCAAGAATGATAATGGCCAGAAGTCACTGGAAGGTGAAATTAGGCAATCTCACAGTGGAACTGAGGTGTGTTTTTATTTGAAAACCTTTTCCTAAAAATGCCCTCTTGAACTTTGTTGTTTGCACAAGGCCATCCGTCACCCACCATAACCTAACCCCATAGCTGTCTTTCAGGTTGTTTGTATCAGAAACCGTCTGGTTGCAATAAGCAAAGGCATTGATGAAATACGAAGATACCATTAGTTTAAGATACGTTACTTGAAATAGTTTAGTTCAACAGGTTTAAATTCCTGTGTGAATACTCTTGATTTAATTTTTGTCTTTTAATATCAGTATATCTTGTTATTTAGTAACTAGATTAAATTGATGGAGTGTGCCCTGCCTCTGAGGGCTTTCAGCTCTTGCACTGAATGAGTCACATTTCTAATTATATTTGAGATAAATGAAGTGTTTTTTTGCATGTAAATGAAGATTTAGCTGACCCATGTGAATTTTAAGGCCTATATATTGGCAGAGATGAAACATAAATTAAAAATTTTACATTATAGAAACTTTCTAATCACTGCCTGCAGCAGTAGCTTTAGAAATGAGAAAGAAACCAGAATAAATTTAGAAAACTGTATATGTAAACTAATTGAGGTAACCATGGGGAAGTGTTCTGCAGGCACATTTATGGAAGGCAAAGGATCGAATCTTCTCCTGGGATGAGTTGCCATGGGCTTAAAGGAAGTTGAACTGAACAATTTCTCCCCAAAACTCGGTTACCATTTTGGTTAATCTGTCACGGACAGGAAGACACTGTTCCTAAGAATGGTGTGTCTGAACATCATACGGAGGGTTTGTGAAGTGATTCACAAACAAACCAAAACAAATCATGTTTGATAAACCCAGGCTGAAGTCAGACTGCAGCTGATACTACATTTTAAGAATCATAGCCAAGGATAAGCCATTCACACCAGATAATTAGCTGAGTAGTATTTTTGTTTCTGATCTTTGATTTCTCTGTTCTTTTCAAGACATCCTGAAAGTAGCACTTCTGTTTTGCTTTTCTCCCTGTAGTTTTAGGAGTAATGTGTTGATGACTGGTGCTGTTGCAGGTAGACTTGAAGTAGAATCAGGAAAAATGACAAAACCACTTCCTACAATTCCTAGGAACATTGCAGTTTTTAGAAAATAGAGATATTAGTCTTCACAAAGACTTGCTCCATCAGCTTAGAAAAGCATCTGTATAAACCCAGCCTTGTCTCTCTGACACCTGGTGTCCTAGTTATTTTTTTTTTTTGTCTACAAGTCTAGTGGGTATTTCTATATAATTACTTTTTATTAATGATAGTAATAATAGTAGCTGGTGTCCCTGGCACCAAAAGGCTCCCAGCTGTGGGATTCCCTTCTGTAAAAAAAATGAGATCTGTAAAGAAAAATCTCATTTTTCTGCTCAAAGTCTAGGCTAGATTTTAATTTTACATGCCAGGCCATAGCAGTGTAACCACAGCAATAAACCCAGGCAGGAAGCCTTGCCCTTATTTTGGCTTTGCTGCAAGGGGCACTGTTCTACCAGTGTGACTCTATTGCTTGTTTTTGTTACTGCCAATTACAGTGGCTGCTGCACAGATTGACCTCATAAAATATGGTTATGGTTACTTGAAACCCTTACTGAATCTCAAAAGACTCAGGAACCATGATTGTATCAGAAAATAAACTGTCAAAATCCCCAAATGCAGTATTTCCATAGGCAGTTAAAAAAAGTCTAGAAGGCACCTTCTGAAGCACCGAGCTGCCTACATTTGAATTAATGCAAATATTTACAGAAACTGAGATTCTGTAGGAGTTAAGTATAAAAATAGTTTACCAAGAAAACAGGTTTTTTAGATGGATACCCAGGACACATACCCAGAAGGAAAGTGGCGGTCCTGTATCAGAAGGGCACTGGCAATGGGCATGGAAGGCAGGAAACAACAGGCTATCGTTTCCCTCCTGTTTTTAATGTGCCTTGGTCTTCTTGCTGTCTTCTTCCTCTATTTCTTGTCAGCTGATGATCAGCCAGAGTTGGCTCTGCTGCTCTGCCAGGTTCGTTGCCTTCCTCTGTGAGCATCCAGCTGAGGCCAGAGCTGTGATCAGCCATTAGTTCCCGGCTCTTCCTGAGGCAGCTTTAGACTGTGCTTAAAGGAAAAGTTTTCCCTATTACAACCAGAGCGAAACGCTTTATTAGACAATGGAAATGGTGTCTATTGATGTCAAAAGGATCAGGATTTCATTTCAAGAGTTAGGGAGAAGAATTCAGTAGAGCATGTGAATGCTTGCTTCTGGGGCCTTGCTGTGCTGTGCTTAAAGTGGACAGCTCAGGCCACAGCCTTTGCCTCTTCTGCAGACCCCAGGAGCTGAGCCTCCTCTCTGCTGTTGCACTTTCTGAGGAAATCTGCGCATCTCTGGGTTTTAAAAGGAATGGCATTTAAAATGTTAAAATGCTTAGCCACATCTAACTTTCAGATCCCAACTTCCTAATGTAGGATAATTTAGGCTGATGATGTCCTACAAAGAGCTGAACCCACGGTACCAAAGGATAGGTTGGGTTGGTAGTATTTACATGTGGGCTTGAAATGCTTTCAACAGGTTGAATGTTAATTTAATTTCATTAAATTATTTCAGTCTGCAAAACAGAATCAAGTGTAGCTTACAAACAGTTCAGATCTGTCAGGGCCACCTGCCTTTGGTATAGCTAAAATGACACTTGAAGTCATAAGATGTTCAGTTGTGTGACCAAGTGACACATTGCAAACCATCTCTTGTGCGCCAGCACTCTCCCCATTCAAGTGAGGAGAAGACCAAGCAGGCAGGCTCCTGGCTGCAGGACAGTGCATGCAGACCTTCTCCTGCTGCCACGCTGTTTTGTTGTGGATCGCAGGTCTTCCCACACTCCTAGTTTCAACTTCCAGGACAGAAGATGGGTGTGAAGTGGCCACTACATCTTGCTTTGTGGTCAGAAATGAGAATTCTTGCAGCGCATTGGGGTGCATGGCTTCATTTGGGGTTGGCAGTGAAACCCCTGGATCTGTGTTGTGCCATGTATAAGGCAGAATGAAGTTTTAATTTCTTGTATAGATTTCAGCTGGAAGCAACATTTGTCATGAAAGCTAATGGATTTGATAGCAGGAGAACTACAACCCCAGTGAAAGCTTAAATGGATCCCACCCTTGATCAAAACTGCAAAGTTTTGCCTCCCTTTAACCCCAGCATTACCTGCAAGTGTCCCTTGAATGCCGTTCTTTTCCATCCTGTAAATGAGAAAAGTCATGCCTGGCTCTTTCTCATTTAAAGTATATGTAAATCTGGGATACACAGCACATACACAATTGCAGGGCATAACCTGAAAGGTGATCAAAACCACCTCAAACAACTACGCTTACCACAGGTGTGTGAGCTCGGTAGTGATACATTTTCCCAGTCTCACTAGATGGCACCAAAGATGACAAAAACCAGCATGTAACTGCGTAGCAGAAATAAGTGGCAAGGCCCTGTGAGGGGAGGGCAAGGTCATTTCTGTCAGTGTGCAACTGCATTCTCGATGTATTTGACTGTAGCTTTGCATGTGCAGGTGAGCAGCAATGTGCCTACCGAGCTAGGTGTGCAAACCATAGTTGAGCCGGCAATGCGAAGGGGTGTTGAGAAAAAGGAAATGTAGGCAATTACACTGGAGGTTCTGGGCTTCAAAATCTTTTGAGCAGGCAGTGTGTGTTTTGAGTTATGGTACAAAGCTGCCTGGCTAAAGGCTCAGCTAGGGATCCTGGTCAGATGACTTGCTGTGTGAGGAAAATATTCAAGATGATACCCTATCCTTGGGGTATCCTTGCTGCTTCCAGGATCACCTAAGTAGGCTGATGGACAGGTAGATTGGCCATGGCTTTCCTTCTCATCATGTCCTTCTCTTGCGGTGCCTAAAATGACCCTTCATGGGAAGAGCCTGTGGCCTGCAGGAGGCGATGTTGTGCCTGATTGTGGTGCAAAGGATGGAAGATGCCTTCATTCTTTGTGCCACCTCCGGGCTGTCGTATGTATATAAGCAGGCTTCTGATAGGGCTCGCCAAGTCAGATCTAACACTCCCAGTGTTCCTTGCTTATAATCTCCATGTGCATTGTTCTAAATTTAAACATGAAGATTTAAAATTCTGCTGCAGCTATGGGACAAAATTAATGAATAATTGATTACTAATAATATGTAAAATCTGCTCCTCTTATCTTACTCCCTTCCTCTTCCCCTTATTTTTTTTTTTTTCTTCTAGATCTACTAATAGCTTATTAGAAGTCTTTATTAGACCAAGTGTGAGCAGAGATGAGCTCACTTGTACAGGTAGTGAGCAGCAGGGTATTGCTGAGGACTTTTCCCTGTTTTTTTGGTTTTTGTTTTATTTATTTTAAATAACTTGTTTTCTTGCACGTGCAGTTTGGTGCCCAGGTCTGTGCTGCTGGATATCTGAAAACCTTGTTTTACACTGCAGTAGCTGTTTGTAATTTTCTTCCTGAAAACATTCATTTATGTCCAATTCATCTTAATGGGCAATCAAAGTGCATGTGCTCTTCCATGTTTGGGTAATTGTAGCAACCTTAACTTTTTAAGTGCTGTTGAACTTAGGGGTTTCCTACCGTATGAGGCATTAGAGCATCATGAGCTAGGTTAGAGAGCTCTCACCATATGATTTCCATTGACACCTTGTTGCTTGTGGCTGCCTTTAATCATTGCTTGTATGGGAGACAAGAGACTGCTCTTTTAGGGAGCTAGACACAACAAAATGATATACTAGTCCAAAATAAAAGAATAATTATTCAAAGATAAATAAATTTCACTTAATACTGGAGATACAAAACATTTCCAGACACAGAAGAGTCCCTGCCTTGTCTGTAATCCTTTGTAGTGGAAGGACCTGATTCTTTTAACCCTAATGCCAGGGAAGTGGGACTGTGTGCCAAGGGTGGCTCCTGTGGCTCCTTGGTATCAGTGATGTTATGGAGTTTAACCATGCCAAGTGCAAGGTCCTACACCTGGGTCAGAGCAATCCCAGGCACAGCTACGGGTTGGGCAGAGAAGAGATTCAGAGCAGCCCTGTGGAGAAGGACTTGGGGGTGTTGGTCAATGAGAAAATGAACATGAGCCGGCTTCAGTGTGCACTCGCAGCCCAGAAAGCCAACCGTATCCTGGGCTGCATCAAATGGAGCGTGACCAGCAGCTCGAAGGAGGTGATCCTGCCCCTCTACTTCACTCTCGTGAGACCTCACCTGGAGTATTGTGTGCAGTTCTGGTGTCCTCAACACAAAAAGGACATGGAGCTGTTGGAACAAGTCCAGAGGAGGGCCACGAGGATGATCAGGGGACTGGAGCACCTCCTGTATGAAGACAGGCTGAGAAAGCTGGGGCTGTTCAACCTGGAGAAGAGAAGGCTGCGTGGAGACCTCATAGCAGCCTTCCAGTATCTGAAGGGAGCCTATAGGGATGCTGGAGGGGGACTCTTCATTAGGGACTGTAGTGATAGGACAAGGGGTACTGGATTTAAACTTGGACAGGAGAAGTTTAGATTGGATATGAGGAAGAAATTCTTTCCTGTTAGGGTGGTGAGGCACTGGAATGGGTTGCCCAAGGAAGCTGTGAATGCTCCATCCCTGGCAGTGTTCAAGGCCAGGTTGGAAGGAGCCTTGGGTGACATGGTTTAGTGTGAGGTGTCCCTGCCCGTGGCAGGGGGGTTGGAACTAAATGATCTTAAGGTCCTTTCCAACCCTGTTCTATGATTCTGTGTTGGCAATGGTGCTCATCACTGGCATCTAAAACTTCACAACACGCAGCCCCTGCTGCATTTGAGGGGCTTGGAAGACCTGTCTGTAGAAATCAAGGGAAACCTTCCATCTTCAGGGATGTGTTAAGGTCAGAAGGTAGTAGGTAGCAGTGCTCAGGGAGGATCTGGAGGATGAGCCTGCACTAGTGGGAGGCCTCCTTAGAAAAATGCCCTCAGTCTACAAAACAGAACAAGAAGGGCAGGGTAGCTCAGTTTTATTATTTTGAGGCTTTTTTTCCCTTTTATTTTGCCCAGGTTTAGAGCCTGATAGGAGCCTCTCAAGTGGGAAAAGTGCAGAATCTCAAAACAGAAGCATAAGAGTTTTTCTTTATCTAGACAGTAAATAAATAAATAATAAATGAAATTTCAGTCAATAATGTGCTTCTGCCTTATTGACATGAAAAGAATGCCTTTCATGTGATACAAACATTTACTTGCTCCTGCTTACTCTACTCACCTTGTACAGAAATGCTGATTGCCATTGACTAATCAGTCCATTTTTGTATATTCTCATCAGACTCTTTCTTTGGCTGGAACAATATGCACTGTATGATGCTTGCATGTACAATAATCTGTTATTAGCACTTTGTATATGCCTTTGTTACTTCACAACTAACAGTTTGGCCTCTGAGTGCATGCATTTGTGTAAATGTGTTATTAAATAAAAGATTTATTTCTATCAGTTTAGGAGATGTGTAAGTTATGCATAGAGACACTAATAATTGCCATTTAGTCACTGGCAAAAGACATTGTTCAGCTTGTATTTATACAATTACTGTTTCTGTTTAGGCTTTATAGTGCCATGTTTGTCTTTTAGTTCCATATTTATTCAATTGCAGATCTGGTTTGTTAATTTTATAATGATTAATTACAGTACCATATAAAACATTTTAAGAAATTGGTTTTGTTATACAATACAACTCTAATACAAATTAGGAAATTTTATTTTTTCTTCCAGTGTTCCTGTAAGCTATAGATACCATTATTTGTATTATGAAATAATTAGACTACTGATCAAACAAAAAACTTTATCCCTCCCCAATATTGACCTAAATGATAAGCTATATACTTGGTTCTGAACCAAGCTTCAGAGTAATGGCAGTTGCTGTTGCAGTGCTAGGACCCGAAGACATCACATTTATTTTGTGTGTTTCAACATCTCAGGACACTGTCTCCTGCAAAGTCTCCATCTTCGTCCACTGGATCTATTGCTTCCAGCAGAAAATACCCTTACCCAATGCCACCTCTTCCTGACGAGGAGAAAAAAGCCAACAGGCAAAGTGCCAGGGTATGTGTCCCTCTTCTCTGCGTTTCATCAGTGACTTAATTTACTGGTAGTTTTTCAGAAGGAAAGTGTGGCAGATCAGCATCTTTGACTGACAGTGAGAGCAGGAGTGGCATTTCCTTCTCACGCGTAACTTCAGAGGCTGCTGAAGGCTGAGCCTGTGGCAGTGATTAGGGCAGCCTCAGTGGCTGTACTTACAGATACCTGTTCACGCTGGTGGTAAACATGCCCTGAAGCCCAGATTCCACTAGTTTTCTTATTTCAAGCAGAGTGTGCCTGGGGCAGCCCTGGAGCAGGTGGTGCTTCTGGCTGTCCTCCCTTACCCCTCCTGGGGAGGGGCTGATGCTGCCAGCAACTCTCATTCAAGCTGGGGGATAGCTGCTTTCCGGCTTTATAGAAAGGTGTCAGAGTTCCAGTTAAGGAGGATGTGGAGGGCTTGCATCAGTCTCTTGCAGACTTGGAGGGGCTTTGCTGCTTTTTGACCTGAGCCCACTATAGCTGCCCAGGGTAAGCAGGAACCACTGGAACATGCGATGGATAGCGATGCTCCACACAGAGAGATTTCCAGCTGCTGTGGAAAGGCAGCACTAGCTGTTGCTTCCTTTGTGCCAATTCAGATACAGCAGATATTTGAATAAGCAACTCCCCCCTCTCTCCATCCCTAAAATTTACTTTAGGACCTTTACTTGTGATAGCTTTGGTTCATATTGATGCAGACAAGATTCACATCACTGCTCTGTCCTTTTTGTAATGAAAAATAGAGTCTGCTGAGGGAATCTGCAAGCTGCTGCCCCCATTCCTGTTTGGAAAACTCTCTGAGAGTGAGAGATTCTCTCTACACTAATATTAGTTAGCATAATTGTAGGGTAAAAGCTGTCATCAAATTTGATGCTACAACGATTCCTTCAAACTCTGCACTCCAGCTGTGGACATTTACTGTGCTAACTACAAATCATGCTGAAATGCTGAAATGACTTTGTGGTCTGAACAGTTACCCACCAGAGGCTGGGAGCATAGCCCTGGTGACCCAAGTGATGTAGATGCAGTTCTCCAAACAAGCTTCTCACAGTGTTTGGGTAACAGCCTGGTTTGTCTTGGTGTTCAGTGTGTGTTTGTATTCCTTTTCCTCCTTTCCAGCTATGGGAGACGTCCATTTAGCTGCACCGTACTCCTGGGGTGACATCAGAACTGTTTACTTGGAATTTTATAGAAACTCAGCATCACTGAGTAATTGCACATTCATCTGCTCTTCAGTCAATTCGAAAGCTCAACAGAGATGCCCGTGATCACAGTGAGAACCTCCTCTCATCTGGAAGGGAAAAAAGCCGCTTTTTATTTTTTATTTCTTTCTTTTTTGTTGACTGCTATTTTATGGATTTGATGAACAACCAAAATCAGAACAATTAACACGGGATAATAGCCCGGATGTGACAAGGCTATTCCGCAGGATGACAGATCCACTTACCTAGAATGCCAACTGCAGTCTGTGTGCCAGCCCCGCCTAATCTCTGGTTTATTGCAGTCCTGAGTCAGACCACAGTGGAGCCAGGAACGCACCCCCTGGAGGGCCCAGCTGATGTAACTTATACGCCATATGCATGAACCTTGTGTTCTTTACTTTCCACATGTAAGGGATAAACAACATACTGTTGTAGAAATTAGCATGCAGGAATAAGAAATATAGGATTTTTTTTTTTTTTTGTGACAGGATTTCAAGCTTTGAAGGGCAACTATTTGATGCAAATGTCAAACAAACAAGGATTATATCTGGGTTTTTTACTTTACATGTTTATAATCTCCGTATACAGATTGTATATATGTAAACATTTGATAATGTCAAAAATAGCTGTTATATACGTAAGTGTATTTTGCCAAATGCCTAAAGAAACAGTCATGACTAACATCATCACACTTCAGATTTTCTAGTATTACAAGCAGACATCTTTGGAAATACAGAAAGTACAGAAATGTAAACCTGTGTCTCTCAGAAACTGGTGTTTGACCAAAACCTTTTCAGTATCTTATACTGTCTTGACAATCTCAATTGTATGGCAGACTGCAGAAACCAGTACAGCAGCACTTTGTTTTAAACCATCATAAGAGGACCCACCCAAAATCCGTGTTTCACTGAGATGACCAGGGTATGTCTCACAGGTGTAATCAAGGCTGATTCAGCAGACAGCAGAGACAGAATCTTTAAGTAATGTGTAGTCCAAACTTACTGGACTTTTGGGAATACTTCTAAGTAGTCAATTCAGGATGTGGTGATGTGAAGTCCTTCTGGTGAGAGTCACTGTGTATTTTTGATAGAGCATTTCAGACACTGTTTTAGATGGTGAAGGGTAGCTTATGAGAAGCAAAGTATTTCACTGCACTAGATAATAACAGTGCTGGGCAAGTAGCCAGTTTCATTGCTGTCTTTTAACTTTTATTTGTTACTGGAATCGCCTTTACCATGTGCTTGAATGCTATGCTTGGTGCCCCTGAACCCCCTTGACAAATTTGGGGGCATTAAACTGAGTGCAAGTGAGTTTAGCCTGAAAAAATGGGGTGAGGGGAAAAAATCCTTTACCATGGAGATGTTAATCTTGTGTGTAAGTGGATGGTTAGATTTCTAACACCCTAAAGAGACTTCTCTAAAGGTTGTTGTAAAACAAATGTCCTTTGATGGGGAATTTTCGGTCAGTAAGAAACTGGACCGTATTAAATCTGTTTATAATTCTCCAGCTTTCCAAAATTGACTAATTCTTTGCTTCAGGTAGTACCACTGCAGAACAAAACACCCAATTCTGTGTGGTGCCATTACATACGTTGCCCAACAGCTGTATGATCAATTAGATGTTACTGTAACGGGAACATCGAGGGTGTTTCTGAATCTTCTACCTCTTTCATGTGTTTCCTTTAATGAGTGAACCCAACACTTGCAGCCTTTTAATATATTTTTTTAACTTTTAAGTCTCTCAATAAAGTCATATATATGTAAGATTAAATTAAGAAATGTTTAAAGATGTCAGCAACTGTAAAGTATGTAAGATTTTTAGAAGCACTATATTTTATGATTAGGCTGTACGTTGGACTACGACAAAATATTTGCCTTAGTGTTCAAATGATTTTCCTTCACGGTTGACAGGTTCTGGTAAGTATTTTGGGGAAAGACAAGTATGAGTGAGCGCAGGTGGATGCAGACAGACCATCTGGAAGGAGCCAGTCACTCGTAATTGCTTTAGGAAAGGATTCTGCACTGTTGTGAAGAGTAAATATCCATCAGCACTGAAGAATATTTTTTGCAAAGATTTACTTTGAGCATAGGTAACTGGGTTAAAGATATTTGGTAGCATGAAGCTCATGAAATTAGGGTCTGAGCCACAATCGCTTGAAATCAGTATGTCTTTTACTGATTCCACTGGACTTTTTGAGCAGGACCTTCAAAGAGTTCACCCACAGTAGGACATTATGCTAAGCCAACAGCTGTTGTATTATTCTGTCGCCTGGAAGCAATTTTCTCTCCTATGTTAGTATCCCATCTTTAGTAACTGGTCTCTTCATCATGTGCCTTTTACGGTACTTTGTTTGGATACAAACTGGCATGTAATTTTGAATAATCCTGTTAGATTTCTGTACATACTTTATGTTTACCACTGTTTACTCTTCCCTTTCCATTTTGCCTTATCCAGAAGCAGCAAGATTTGGCAGACAGAACTGGATATAACATACTGGCTTTTTGTGTAATGTTCATAGCCTCCCGGTTTGCAAACAAGTGGCTCTCCTGACTGTATTTGCAATGTAGTATGTACTTTAGCTTCTCTCTTGTTTTGGTATAATTCCTTTGTAGCATATGATTATCCAGCTGTGTTATGTAACTCTAACAGCCAGTTTAACACTTGTAGATATGTAGTGACTGGAAGTCTAGGTATGAGCACTGAGTTTGAGTTAAATACTGACTTTCACTTTGATGGTCTAGAGTGCAAACATCACAGGACTTGGGTGCTTGCAGAATTCTTCTGCAGGGAATTTTGCATCAGGTTGGTAACCTGGAGACCTTGTCGTTGCACAAAACCTGAACTGGCAGGGCTGTGTGGGACTCCAAAGCCCACAAAGTGGAGGTTGAAGAGAGAAGTCTTTGGCTTACATTCTATGGTTTTCTACTTCTAAAACTTAGTGTGTTGGAAAGCTGCCAGATTAATAAGCTTGAAGTTTGCAAGTATTTTTATCCACTGTAGTTAGTTACACTGGCAATAGCAATAGAAATTGTCGCGTAATACCTCATCCAGTCTAAAATATCAGAGTACTTGTATTGTCAATAAGATAGCTCAGTCACTTTGACTCACTGAGACTCATGGTTTTACTTTGTTTTCATTTTGATTTTAATAAATGAACTAGTTATTGCTAGCTATGCTGTAGATGCCTGTTGAACTGGAAACATTACCAGATCTTCTCAAATGGAAATAATTGCCCATATGAGCATAGGACCTGCAGGACGAGCTGTACTTACGTTAGTGTTATGTATTTCAATGTGGGAGAAGAATCTTGTATAATTTAAAATAAAATTAATATGCCTAACTGATTGAGAGTGGAAAATAGAGATTGTATCGAAATAAAAATGCTGCACAATGGTGCCACGGATTAACAAGTAAAAATTTACTTGCTAATTCTGTATTTGTTGAAACCAGAACTTCACTAATCTATACGATAGACTTTTGGTGAATATATTCAGGCAATATACCAGAAGTGGTTGTGATTGATAATTTACACATAGTTTTGTTACATTTACGTAAGTAATTTTAAGGAAGTTGTTAAATTTATCCAGCCTACCTTTTGCTTAAGTTGTGAACTTAAGTCACTACTTGCCAGTTACCTGATAAGCATGACTTGACTTTGAAGATAGCTACTTCCAAATGGTTTATAGAGTTCCTGATGAGATGTTGAACCCGCTAAGCTGATGAACTCACTAGGTAATTTTGAGTGTGCTAATGAACAAATGCGCCTTTGAGCCTGAATTAAAATTAAAAAGGAAGTGTGTCAGTAGCTAGTGTACTGAAGTTCTCTAACCTGAATTCCTGTTGCTGGTTGTAGATGAACTGAGTGGTCTTGTCAACACCAATGTGACTACAGCTTTCAAGACCAGAGCTAAGAATGAGTATGTACACTATTACAGGCATGCATATACTACAAATTCTGATCAACATTTCAGTAATTTCATTAATGAATTCATTAATAAATAGGAGAGGATGTAACATGAAGGAATGATGAGACTCTATAATCTTCCAGGATAGCAAGTTAGCAATTAGGGCTTGCTTTGTCATTGAATGCCATACCTAGCTATGGTATAAAAATTACCACACTCTAGGGTAAAGCTCAGCAAGCTCCTGTTCTCTTCTTTCCACTCCTACTGAAAAGCGTTTCCATGAATGACAACCACTAACAGCCTCTTGTGTTAGTTGGCTAAGATCAAAAAGCTGCTAAATCAGTCATCAATCACTTTTCCCCACAATTTCCTGGATGAGATTGCTCCAGTGCTGTTAATACATCTTTTACTCTCACTACAGTGAAGGTGATGGAGCTCATGTCTCGTGCAGCTTGCACTAGTGTGCTGGTATTGGCTCAGGTGGAGTTAATTTTTCTTTATAGTAGCGGCTATGGGGTTAGTTTTTGGATTTGTGCTGATAACAGTGTTGATAAACACTGCTATGTTTTAGTTCTTACTGAGTCAAGGTCTTTTCTTCTTCTCACCCTACCCCAACAGCAAGTAGGCTGGGGGTGCACAAGAGGTTGGGAGAGGAGACAGCCGGGACAGCTGATCCCAACTGACGGAAGGGATATGCCATACCGTACGGCATTATGCTCAGCAATAAAACAAGGGGTAAGGTTGGCAGGGGGAGGCTGCTGCTGGCTAAGTGGCTGGGCTTCAGTCGTTTGGTGGTGAGCAATTGTTTTCATTTGCATCACTTGTCTTTCACATGTTTTATCTTATTTCCCTTTTCATTACAATATATTATTAATATTACTATTATCGTTATTTTATTTCAACTATTAAACTGTTCTTCTCTCAACCCACAATATTTTCACTTTTCCAGTTCTCTCCCCCATCCCGCTGTCGGAGAGGGGGGAGTGAACGATGTGTGCTGCTGCTTAGTTGCCATCTGGGCTTCAACCACGAGAAGGGGTAAAACTTTTTTGTGGCTCAGCCATCCTGTGCCTTTCTCACCCTTTAGCACTGGTGAAGGCTAAGCCTCTTTAAACACCCAGTCTGTGAACCTGTAAGTTGCGCTGTGTCTTGTTTCTCTTGCTCCAAGTCTAAAGATCATCTGCTGCTTTCTCTAAGTAAGTTATTTGGAGTTTCTGTATCATTAGCAGACTGTTTGGGCTATTGTTATCAACCACAATGTGAGGTTATTTGCCTCATTTTTTAGAACTTGAGAATTCTGGTCTCCTCTGAAGCCATTTTTTTTGTTTTGCCCAGAATTCATCAGACTGCTGAGCTGATGACCCACAATCTGCATGGTTTCCAAACCATAATGACATTTATCAGCAATATGGGATTTGGCTTTGAGCAGATTTCCTGAAGACCAATATGAATAAACTGCACATGTGTACAGCTTGTCATCCTGTGACTTCCTGGTGAGGGAACATTCGTGTGTGCATGTGCCTGTTACCCTACTAGAGCAGGAAACAAGGAAAGAGCGCAACTGATTGTGTAGCTGTAGCTGCAATACAGATAGATAGGACACTTTTAAGTGTGGTTTCATCAGAAACAGGAGAGGAAGTAATAGTTTCTATTGGCCACCTATTTTTACCTATTTTCCAAGTCAGTTTACGCAAAATATTTCTGGTGCTGGAAGTATGGATGCTGATGGCAACTACAGCTTTCTTAACAGTAACTCATGCACCCAACATGTAGTATCTTGTCATTCCACAAGTTTACTTGGAGAAGCACTACTACAGACAACATTCATATGTTATCTCAACCAAAACAAGCAGTAAAAATAAGTGCAGAACACAGAAATGTGGTCCTTTGCTCACACTGGAGAAACTTCAGAACTGGCTCACCTAGCCAGCTGTGGCAGGTTTAGCTCTCTAGCATCCCATTTACATGCGTTTCAAGATCACTTCAGCTAAGCCAGCTTTGAACTGTTCAAGAACTGCTATGTAGACAGATCATTATTGCAATATTAACACAGAGTGCGGTAAGGAAGACTGGGGAAAAGAAGCACAGAGCAGTTAAAAAGAAAACACATTCTCTAAAGGAGAAGCATGGGTGTCTGTCTTATACTATTTTTAATTACTAGAGCATAAAATGTCAAAGCAACAAGCTTTTGCTTTTTTTCTTTACTGTTTCTGTATTCCTCTGAATAAACAAATAAAGTTTTGGTTAAAAAAACAGTCTTAACACGAGGCCTTAAGACCTTATATATTCTAATTTTGGCATGGAGAGTCTATTTTTACAATCACATTAGAAATTCTGTGTGTAGGCCTGGCTGACCTTGTACATCTAGTGGTGCGAGCAGCTAATCATGCGTTGTTGTTAAGGCTCTGTAGAACAGCAGTTGCTGATTGCTTTCAATTATTGGTACAAGGACTCCTGCTCACTGCCTGTGTAGAGATCCTGTGTATTTTATGCTTGGAGATACAGTCCAGAACATACTCAAACTGTGAATATATAACCTGATTTTTCTTTCCTTAAGGATAAATATATATGAAAATAGGTGGTGTTTTATATAGAATACAGTACTTATTTTTATTGTTGCATAAATGCGGAATATTTTTTTCAAAGTAGCAAAGCATTGCAGAATTTTTAATCTGCTGGAGAAAACACAATACAAGCAGTTCTTTCAGCAAAGCTTTTGGGGCAGTATATACCCATTGCCTCTGCCAGCTTCATTTTGTGCTGATGTTTAACTTGGGCGTTGCTGTAAAAAGGAATGAAAAACAGAACTATTTCTTCACTCGAACTAGCCCTGATTGGTAAAACACTGACAGAGGTGATGAGAATCTCGTTTCACCACTGGGGCTGGCTACTATTGGCAAAAACAACCACCCTACATCATATTGTTGTCTTTGCTTGTTAAAAATCCTTAAAAAAATCATACCTGATGTAGTAGAAACATAAGATTTTGACAAATACCAAAATGAAGCATTGCAATTTACAACTTTCTAGCTTTGAGTGTGATAGTTCTGTCATAAAACATCACAGGCATTGGGCTGTTGAAGTGAATGAATCTGGCTTTCATGTAGCTAACCAAAATGTCGCTTTTTATAAAATCAAATAATTATAATTTGGGGTTCTAAATTCCTGCTCACTTCTAATAACAGCATCACAGTATCTACTTCCATGAGAGTATTTAATACAAATGCCTGTGGTTTTCAATGTTACTGACATACTGTAACATCAGTAAAGTGACTTTCAATGACAAAGACTGTTGTGTGTACTTTGTTCTCATTAAATCCTTACATTTTAGCACTTCCTACTTTACAGGTCTCTGTAAAAAGAAAAAAGATGCTGCATGCATGGAAACAAACAAACAAAAGAACAACAAAAAAACCCCAAACTACTGTCTAATAACAGAATACGGATGTTATTTTTCACATTCCAGGGTTTAAAATGATCCTGTGAGCTTCTCAGTCTTTGACTTATGGTCCTGATGGTCTCAAGGCAAATCTACAGTTACTGTTCCTCAGGTTTGCATGTCTGAGGGCAACCTAGAAAGAATATTGTAAACTACACCCAGTTTGCACAAAGGTCAGGAGCAATCACACCACACAGTATCGTGTAAGCGTCCTTCCTAGTGTGCCCTGTGGGAAAAAGAAACCCTTTGTTCAAAGTTAACTGTTTCCCTAAAGTGGGTAAGTAGCATATTCTAATTGTCCACAGAATCTAGTCTTAATGGGGAAGCTTTTTTTGTTTAGCTAGATGATAGCAAATTCTGTCATCACTCCTTAGCAAAAGTATTTATTATCTTAGTTTACATCTAAATGATTTATTCTATCAAAGACAATACCACGGATTTTTTTAAATGCTTATGGCAAATAAAAAGCGATTCTTTCTCAGGTAACCTAGGATTCATTCCTGGGTTTGCAGCAATTTGGCTTCCGCTTTTCTTGGTTTTGTGTTTACAAGAAGATTCCCAAAGAAAGCCTGTTGGTTCACGCTGTTGTTCTTGCAGCAATTCACTGCCAAGTAGTTGGCTGCTGCCAAAACAGTAATTCAGCCTGAGGAAGTAAAACTGAGAAAGACTTGAGTCTGAGTGTTATTGGTCCTCCTCCTTCACTGCTCCAGCCACCTGTTACACCTCTCAGTATAAAAAATCAAGAAGTAATCCTACCCCCAAAACCACCCTCAGATTATGCAAAATAAGCTAATTTTACTCGCATGTATTATTTCACCAGTAAGTCTCATAATTTATTGCATAACTTTATATCTGTATAGGAGTGTGGAACTTCTGTGAGGTCTCTGATCATTTAATAAGTTACACTTCTTTACAAGGATGTTGTATTCATTATTGTCTGATGTTTCCTGTCATTAGCAGTTTCAGGCCTGTGCTGGCTGAAGATTTGGAGGAGCAAAAG